ATGTGGATCAGACACTGACATCAAGTGACTTTTTCACTCTATTCTCTGAAGCAGGGTGTCTCTGGCTGAATCTGAGAGTGGGCTGGCTTGCTGGGAATCTCAAGTACTGGGAATCCCAAGCCATCTTTTTTGGCTATTGTTTTTATTTTACTGTTTTAAAAAGCCAGCTGACTGACCTTGTTCTGAATGGTTGCTCATGTTTGTAATCTCACCCATGCTGAATACTTCCAGTCAGCATTTTAATGTGTTTCAGATTTCCATCATACAATGTAATCTAAGACCTCGGACCCTCCAATAAACTAAGAAGTTTCTTCCCCAACTTTTCCTTCGCCGACTGGTGCAGTAACCTCTCCTCTATACCTGCCCAGAGCCCTACAGTCAAAGGTGACTTGAGCTCCCAGTTCCCTTCTATTATCTTACCTTCTTGTTTTCCCCCCTAAGTCACTGGCAGATTCTTCTTAGCTGCTTTAAGGCTTATCTTTATTCTTCTTTCTTGTTGGAAGTTTCTTACTGCTTAATATTAGACACTGATCTTTCCCATTGTTCTGTGCTTACATCATTTCTAAGGTTTAAGTTACCAACTATATGCCCATGATTTTTTTTTTTTAAAGTGGGGGGAGATGTCAGTTTTTTTGTTTGTATGCAGTGTCTGAGGCCAGGAGGAGGCATTGGCTCCCTTGGAACTGGAGTTACAGAGAGTTGTGAGTCACCCAGTGTGTGCTAGGAACTGAACCCAGGGCTTCTGGAAGAGCAGCTTAGCCTCTGAGACATGTCTCCAGCTTTAAATGTGTGTGAACATGTGCATGTCAGTCTTTCCATCATAGGGATTGAATTTAGGTTTGGTGGCTTCAGGTTTTGCTACTTGCCCCTACTCCTGTCCCTTTGAGATAGACAGGGTCTCATGTAGTCAAGACTGGCCCCAAAGGCCCTATGCAGCAGAGGATGACCTTGAAATCCTGACCCTCCTGCTTCTAATCCCAAGTACGGGGGTTACAAGGGTCTGGCATGCTCAGATGCATGACACCTCAATCTTCACCTCTGCATCAGGCCCCAGATTCATCTAATTACCTTCTCAGCACTTCCATTTTACACCCCCCCCCCACTTTCTATCAGTTGTCACCATTCAGCTGGTGTAAGCAAGGTACCAAGGGCTGTGTGGGAAGAAGTTAAGGTTCTGGCTTGTGTCTACCATCATGGGATGTTTGTCTCCTCTTTGTGGAAGGGCATTTTGTCTTGGCAGAACACCATTTTATCATTGCAACAGACTAAAACAGATTTAGTTCTTATTATATTTTAAATTCTATGCATGCACATATTCGGTGTGGGGGTATGTGTGCACGTGGGTGCATGTTGTGTCTCTCTGGAGCTGGAGCTATGGGCAGCGGTGAACTGCCTGACATGGGTGCTGGGAATGGAACTCAGGTCCTCTGCAAGAGTGGTAAATTACTGCTCTTAACCACTGAGCTGTCTCTACTGTCAAAACTTTTAAATGTTTATGTAGTCAATGATCCAGTTATTTTAAACCATCGTTAAATGGAATGGTGTTTTTCTCATGTTTAAATATCTTTCCATCGGGGCTGAGAGATGGCTGAGGTTAACAGCACTCACTGACTGCTCTTCCAGAGGTACTGAGTTCAGTTCCCAGCAACCACATGGTGGCTCACAACCATCTATCATGAGATCTGGTGCCCTCTTCTGGCCTGCAGGCAAATATGCAGACAGAATATTGTGTCTGTAATAAAAATAACTATCATTCCATCATATTCATCTGCCTGCTTGCCCTCTCTTTCCTTTCTCTCTCCCTTCCTCTCTCTCTTCCTTCTTTCCTTCCTTCCTTTTTTCTCCCTCTTCTTTCTAGGCAAGGTCTCTCTATGCAGTCCTGGCTGTCCTGGAACTGTTTTATGTAGACCAGACTGGCCTCCAATCACAAACAGGCCCGCATCTCTGATACCCAGCTAATTTCATCTGCTTAAGCTTTGATTTCTACTTCATGCTTAAGGCGTAGGAGTAGAATCTAGCTTTCAAAAGCCACAAAAGGATTTGGGATCAACAATAGAGAACCTGCCTAACAGATACAAAGACCATTAACATTAGCCTCCTCCCAAATGATTTAGTAAGTTCCTATTATAGAAAAAGTAATTTTCCACAGGTACTCACTAGCGATATTTTGTGATTTACCACTTTATTGCTCGACTCTGTAGACTCATGTTTAATACCTGAGGCTAATTAACTTCCCATGGGCTCCCTGAAAAATTTCAGTTTCTTGATTTCTTTCTTTTTTTGGGCCTACAAATTAATTCTTTCAAATTCATTTTAAAAAGCATTTTCCTTTCCAATTTGATTGGAAGTTTCCACTGGGAATTTTTATTTCCATTAGAATTACAAATTACCTCGGTGAGAATTATGTAAGAATTTAAGAACTAATATTCATTCATGTGCTGTTCATTTAATTAATGTCTAAGCATGCATTTTTCTATTTTTTCATGCTTATGTTTTTAATTTTGAGGGTAGGCTTTATGAAGCCCACACTGTCCTCGAAGAAGTTGTTACATATCTAAGGGTAGACGCCCTTACTGTTTAGCGTGCATCGGCTGCACTCCACTGAGCTTTTACCCCACCCCCTTCATGTTTACTTATTAATTTCACACGGTTAGCTGTGTCTCACAAATTTAATGTTGTATTTCTATATATTCAGTTTAGATTTTGAGATTCTTGATAGCTTAGAAATGGAGATTTTTACTAGTCTTATAACTTGATGCTATTTTAGTTAGAAAACAATAATTTCAATTGTTTAAACCTACTGAAATTTATTTTATGTCCAAGAATATGGGGCTTATTGCAGTTAGCATTTGATGAACACTTGAAAAAGGATAGGCTTTCTGTTGATGTTAAGTGGACTTTAATAAGACCTTGTTGGTTTAAAACCATTATTAAGTTTTGATTCCTCTAGTCATGCTATTAAGAAAGGGACAGTGGACTCAGCAGTTAAGAGCTACTTTAGGTTTTACAGAGGACCAGAGTTTAGTACCTGGCATCCACATCAGGCCTCTCAAAACTGCCTCTAACTCCAAGGGACCTGGTTGCCCCCACCCCCCACCCCGGTCTGGCCTTCATGGTATCTTCTCTCTCATGTACACACATACAAATGGAAAATAACTCTTGAAATGAGAGGGATATATTAGTCTCCACTCTATTATTATTAATTCTCCTCTCAGCTGGGTGTGTTTGAGCTTTTTCATCTTGCAAATCAACCTAGGACTTCTGTCTTGATACTGACCCTTTACATCAAGTTCCTTCTTGCCTTTGATCTAGGTTCTGCTTTTTAATGTTGCTCCTCCCTGATGAGGGTTGAACCCTTCCACAGAGCTACATCCCCAGTCCTGCTTGTAGTTTTTATGGATTTGTGCTGACTAAACCTAGGCCCTCCCACAGGCTAGGCAAGCTGTCCCTAGTTTTTTTTTTTTTTTTTTTAACAATAGAACTAGTGAACTCTTGAACGATGCATTTTAACTTTTTTTTTTTTTTTTTTAAATTATGCTGACTGTACTCAGGGCTCATACATGCTAAGTGTGGGCTACACCACTAGGTCCCCAGGTGACTTCTACCTTCTATAAGTTGGTAACTCCAGACTTTTTGCTTACAAGTAACAGAAAATTACTTAGGCTAGCTTAGGCTGTGTAAGAAAAGTGCTGTGATAGCTATGAAGAAGGACCCTGCATCTCTCTGGGGAAGCAAGAAGATTAGACAGTTGCCCTCTGGCTCTGGTATAATAGTTCTATGACTTAAATTCAACCCTTCAGGGTCTTATCCAACTTAGTACTTTGAAATAGGTGAAAAAAAAAAATAAAGGTAGGGACAATTTGGAATCTATTCTGGTAGTGGTGAGAATTTTGATGTGCTGTAACTAAAATGGTAGATTCTAGACATGTACTGTTGAGTGGTGATCTCATTATGGATTGTGCACAGGCTACCTAGTCTCTGCTGGTTTCTGTTCCTTTTCTGTTTCCCCAGCCTCCTGCTTCAGAAAACCAAAGAGCCGAAAGCTAGGTGAATTGTGCCCATAATCCTAGCACTCACCCCCAAACCCATAACCTTCCCAAATGAGAATATTACCTGCCACTGATAGGTCAACTCTAATTACAGATGTTATGTGGAGTGGAGTTATTTTCCAGTTTGGAAGGCAGTAGACTTTATATACTAGAGCTGGGTTTCTAAACTTGTTATCTTAAAGGGACATATGTGGTGGTATTATCACTAGGCTCTGTCTCCCAGAGCCTGAGACTTTGAGGTAATAGTTATTGTGATGTCAAGGAAAGCTCATCTGTAAAATGCAGGGGTCGGACTGGACTAGGTAATTTCCAGGTCTTTCTAAATTGTACATAGTCTGATTCTAATGGGCCTTCTTGTTCCTTTTTTCACAGCATAGGAAACTATCCCGTCAAAATTAGCTGTCTGCCAACACTGTGCCAACTTTGGGCACTATCCTGGAGAAATGGGTGTATGGAGTCTTTAGTGTTAGAAAGTGAAAAGATCCAGCCAAAAGATGTACATAGACTGACTGACAGCCTTTCTTAAATGGAAAAGGACACCAAATAGTTGGCTGGGTGTGGTGGCACACACCTTTAACCCCAGACCTCTGAGTTTCAGAGAAACTCTTATCTGGAACCACAAAACAATGTTCTCACAGTCACACAAAACACTCCGAACAGAGAGAGACAAGATGAATTAGCAAGCTTTTCTCAGAGACTCTGACTCACTAAGCGCAGCTGGGAGAACAGCAAGCTCTCCTATTTTGCCAGATGTAGTAGTAAGTGCAAAGGGATGGACGCTGTCCGGTGTGAATTAATGCCAGTCACTCACGATGCCTGTACCAGCTCGGTCCAATAATCAAACCATTGTTCCGAGAGCAAACGTAAATGGCTACAAGTGACCACTTATGTATGTACTGGGTAGTGCGAATCCTTTGGGGCACACTGAATATGTCACTCTGTTTGACCCAGGTCCTAATGAGTGCCTCATTCCTGGGAGCCCTGTGTCTTTTCTCATCTGTCTGTGTTGTGTGCGCCATTTCTGCATTCACTCTCCCCATTGAGACCAAAGGACGTGCCTTGCAGGTAAGTGACTCTTGCATTTTCTCACAATTACCACTTAAAAACTGTTTTTAACTATTTGTATGCATGAGTCTGAGTGTGGGTATGCAAAAGAGCTCAGATCCCCTGGAGTTACCCGAGTTCGGGAGATATCTGAGAACTAACTCAGAACATCATTTGCAAGTGAGCCACAACCTTTGACCCAGGAGAAGTCTGGGATATGGTTAGCCTTTACTTAGCAGGAAATGGGATCTCTCCAGTCTCATATAAAGTTTGAGCAGCGATAAAGAAGAAGTTAACTAAGAATTTACTTGAAACATTACCGCAGAGCCTTTAGGATCACATGGCCTGGACGCAACAGCTAGCTTCCTTTCTCCAGTACTCACCAGAGTGCTGAAAGCTTCAGTGTAGCTTCCCTGGGCCAGCTGTGTAGACTGCAGCTTTGGGGGGCTTTACTTCAGGCGCCATGTTCTAGTGGTTTCCTTACCTAGAAATAGGCTGGAAAGTGAGCTTTGTAATTTCCATCTGCCACAAGTAAGCTGACCTCTAGTCCCACTGCATCGGGAATAGTTCCAGAGCTACATAAGCTCATCCACCTAAGATGAAGCCTGCCTGAGCAAACTCCTTAGTAGAGCACTATGGCACTGACTAGGGAAGGCACTTGATGGCCCCTAAAGGCTTCACCCCCCCCACAAAAAAAAAGCTAAGTTCTGCTGCAAAGTACTGGCTCTTTTCCCTTTGAATTTTCCTTTCTCACCTTTCATGATTAGTCTACCCAACATTAAAGGTTATGAAGGCAGGCAGTGTTTTGGCTTATGCAATGAAATGGCCCTGAGCTGTGTGTAGGCTCCTTACTTCTCTGGAGGCTGTGGATGAAGGTGGGGCACAGGTCAGTCTGGACTCGGCTAGCACTGAGAAAGGAAGGTCTGAGAACTTTCCTCCCTCACATAATGTTAACATCACGTGTTTCCTTTCAGTATTACAAAATGACTGCCATGCCCTTTATTTACACCAATGTAAAAAACACCCTGTCTTATGTTAATTTCCCTTCCTTACATTTAAATGTGGTGGCCTCCCTCCTCAGCCTTCCAAGTGCTGTGGTTGGCTCTTAGGTGTGAGCTACCACAACCAGCTCACAATTTTAAAAGTAGTTTTACAAATAAGAAACCTACAGGTCATGTAGCGTGCCCTAAAATTTCCAACTCACACCCACATACACGCCAGTCCTTTTCCTGTTGCTGGGGTGTGACCCAGGAACTCAGCATTGGAGAATGTTGGCTTTACGATCCATACCTATGAACACACCCTGGTGGTACGTCTTCAGAATAATTACCCCACACACATGTGCATACACACCTTATTTCTGTGGTCATATGCACAGTTTTTCAAAAACAAGATAATTTGCATAGCAGTCATCTGACTGGAAAAACACAAACTTAAAGAGACGGTTGAGTCAATAAATAAAAATTCAATCACTAGGCTGGGTGGGGGCAGTGCAAACCTTTAGTCTCAGCACTTGGGACGCAGAATTAGACAGATTTCTGTGAGGTCAAGGCCAGCCTGGTGTACAGAGTGAGTTCCAGGACAGTCAGGGCGGTCACACAGAGAAACTCTGTCTTGAAAAAAAAAAACAAAAAAACAAAAAACAAAAAATTCAATCATTAAAGAGTATGTCTGTAGTGCCAGACATGGTGATACAGGCCTTTAATCCCAGCACTCGGGAGGCAGAGGCAGGTGATATAAGTTCAAGGCCTGCCAAGACTACCTATAGACCCTGCCTCAATAAAACAAACAAAAAGAATGTGTTTAGAGTGTGAATTTTCCTTTATATTTACAACTTTCAATTATAAAGCTAGCATTGCCATTTCAAAAGGTAAATGATAATATAATTTACAAAAAATTAAGATCTAAGAACAAATACTTACCAACTTTTTTTTTTCTCTTATAGCAAATTAAATGAGGACCTACAATACTATGGTTACCAGAGGAAAAACGAATTTTTGATCTTCACTGTTACCATTTTTTTAACGGTTTCATTTCCGAATGTGGTAGTTAAGAAAACAAGTGTATTTTAAGACAGCCAAGGCACGCACAAAAATGTAGTGGGGGCTCTCTTTCTCGGGAAACAATATATGCAAACCTCTTTAGGACATACTTACCCACATGGAAGTGCATGCCTCTAGTCTCAGCAACAGAGAGGGCAGGGGGATCAGGAGTTCAAGGTCATCATCAAATAAAGCAAGTTCAGAGCCAGCTTGGGTGTCTAAAACCAACCGAACTCAACAACAACCTACCACCCCCCCAAAAAAACCAATAAACCCAGAGATTGAATGGGAATAGAGAAGGTGGTGTGTGGAGAATATACCCTTTCTTACTTGGCATCAACTACTTAGATAAAACATTTGGTATTGCTCCACGTGGTCTGTGGCTGAAGGACAGAGATTCTGCAGCTAAGGCAAGAAACTAGGCTGGTATCACTGAATTTAAAATATGGCCTTGATAGTTTTAAAAAAACAAACAAACAAACAAAAAAACCACTACTTTATTTGGTATGTAACTACCAAGAATGAAGTTAATTTTTTTTCATACACTGTTAACTGCCTTTACTGTTAGGAGGAAATCATTGATTCTGATGATGCTCATGCAGCTTTCCTATAACATGTAACTACTTACATACTGTATGGGTACTGGTTACACACGCCAAGTTCTACTGGGAAAGACGTCATCTAAAGCTTCTGTGCTTGTTTTATCTTTTATTGCTGTTGAGGCTTATTTATTTTGGAATCCCACTACAGTTTCAGACCACCGGGCTGGCTCAGGGTCCCCCCATCCCCAACAGTGGGAAAGGACCACAGCTGCAGCCACAATGAAGTGCTGCATTAGTGCATACATACAAGAGGCATGCCTGCTGAGGGAGCACTCTACTAAACCAGTCTATGAATGGCTTCGAATCAGACAGTTTCTTACAAACTTAGTTTAGAGGACTGGACGCAGGACTCCGGATGGAGATCAAATAGCCCATCTTAGGTAGAATGTATACCCTTCCTTATACTTCGGTCATCTCCAGATTGTGTCTATTAATATAGCAACAATATGTACAAAATAAAGACAAAGATCTGTGTATATTATGATGAACACTTTCCTTTTTGGTTTCTCAAGACTTGGTTTGTCTATGTAGCCCTGGCTATCCTGGAACTCTATAGACCCACAGAAATCCTTCTACCCAAGTGCTGAGATTAAAAGCGTGCAGACACTTCCTTTCCCCCTAAATATTCATCTGACTGGTGAATCTTGGACTTGAAACCCATATATAAGCCAGAAATAGGCAGCTCTCTTTGCGTTCAAGGCCAGCCTGGTCTATATAGACTTCCAGGACAGCCCAGGCTACATGTTATATAGAAAGACTCCACCTCAAAAAAGCAAACCAAAGCAAAACAATAAAACATAAATTTGAAAGACCAACTGTATTATAGGCTTTTTCAAGGTATACATACACATGGGCTTTCTTACAAGCCTAGAAGATTTCTAACTCTAAGCTATATGGAAAAAGTTCAAGTGATTAATCTGGCTAACAGACAAACTAACCTTAAAACCTAGGTATTATTTCAGGCCAAATGTATTTGATGGAAAACTATGTTGGCTACATTTGCAGGGACAAGACAAGCAACCTTTTGTAAGTTTACAACTGAAAAAAATCCCAAAGCTGAAGTTTAGAGACAGTTAAATCAAATAATTCTCAGTGTTTATGGGATACTCAGGATTCAGGAACTTCACAGGGCTGCCTAGCACGCAGGCTTCTGAGACAATAGCAAATCAGCCTAGCAAGCTTTTAGCATGCTTTGTAACAGGATCCATGATGACTACCTTGATAGCACAACTTTTCTACAGCACAAATTGCAAGCTGCTTGTGGAGGTTGTTTAGCACACTTACCTTATTAGTCAGTAGTAGAAGCAAATTCCAAGTCACTTTCTTATTAAGAACTTACTGGGCTTATTTCACAGATTCCCTAAAGACTGAGCCACTGATTGGTTAAGATACTAAATAATAGTAAATAGTAGAAATAGTACATCAGAATCTAATAGTTTTGCATGTAGAATTTGATCTAAAACTCTTCAGAGTATAATCTACAATAGGTGATTACGTTCTGTAAGATGGTGCTAAATTTTCTTTCTTTGGAATCTCTTAATATACACATGATTGGTGAAATGAGTTAGAGAGAGACTGGACTAGATAACTTACTATTGATACTACATTTTCTGGTTCATTTGTCTTGGGATTAAGGCAGAGAATTTGTTTGCACACTTCCTGCTAAATGGTGGGGGTGATAAAACCACCCTTCTTTCGTGCCGCATTACAGAGTGTGCAAAGACACAATTGTTAAATGTTACGAAACTAATCAAATTGATTGTTTCCACCAAAGAGGATCGTTAAAAGTTAAAAGCCCAGTAGTGGAGCTGGAGAGATGGTTCAGTGGTTAAAAACACTAGCTGGGCGTTGGTGGTGCACGCCTTTAGTCCCAGTACTCGGGAGGCAGAGGCAGGTGGATCTCTGTGAGTGAGCTCGAGACCAGCCTGGTCTACAGAGTGAGTTCTAGGACAGGCTCTGAAGCAATACAGAGAAACCCTGTCTCGAGAAACAAATACAGTGACTGCTTTTTTAGAGGACCCAAGTTCAATTCTCAGCACATACATGATGGTTCAATGTCCATACCTCATGCTTATGGCACTGAGATAGATACAAGCAAAACACCAATACACATAAAATGGTATCATTTCTGAGTATCGCACTTTCCAACACTTTACCAAAAAAATTAATACAAGCAAAGTTTTAAGATACCAACCAGTCTACACCCTGTGCTACTTTCTTCCTCCAGTGGGTTTTCATGACAAAACACCCTTCTGTAATATCAACTGTATGCTGGGGTAACAACTGTTTTCATTAAAAGTTTTTTAAAAATTAATTCCCCCTCCCCCCTCCCCCCATCCACTCCTCAGAAAGGGTAAGGTTTCCCATGGGGAGTCAGCAAACCCTGGCACATTAAGTTGAGGCAGAACCAAGCCCCTCCCCACTGCATCAAAGCTAAGCAAGGCATCTCACCATAGAGAATGGGTTCCAAAAGGCTAGCTCACGCACCAGAGACAGATCCTGGGCCCACTGCCAGGGGCCCCTCAAACAGACCAAGCTGTGACAACTGTCGCCATATGCAGAGGGCCTAGTTTAGTCCCATGCAGGCTCTCCAGCTATCGGTGTAGAGTCTGTGAGCTTCCACTACCTCTGGTCAGCTGTCTCTGTGGGTTTTGGGGTGGCTTTCTTAACACCATCATTAGTACATTCTTAAAGAGACCAGATAAGGTAACCATTATCACTGTTAAAATCTACTTCCAAGGAGGAAAATATCAGTGTATTTTCTTTCTCATTTGTCATTTTCTTTTCTTGGTTTATCTTTGTAAGGTAAAGGACATACATTTTAGAATTAAAAAAATGCTTTCCTGTTATTTGGACCATAGCACATCCCTACAGGCAACAACACTATAGTTTTAAGAACAGATGAGGGCTAAGAATAAAGGGCTCAAACTAGGTAAAATGCTACTAAAATGCGTTTTTTCACTGAGTCTTCTATTACAAACATCTTGGTAAAATATTCACAGTATTAAAAAAAAAATCCACCAGTTAATTTTTATTAAATTCAAAGCACCAATCCCTGAAGAACCAACAACAAAATCTAAAATGACTGTTGCCACAGATGCCCTTCACAACTTTCAAAGTGTCCATGGAGGAGCCTGTGACCTGAGTGCAGGGACGTAAGATGTAAGACACCTGTATGGGAATTAGGACGGAACTCCTACCCAAGACAAAAGAAATGTGAAATGTAAAATTATCTATTAGAAGTTTACACAGAACTATAAAATACTTACAAGATATGGCATGGTTATTTGATAAAAAAAAAAAAAATACAGTACTTGAGTTCAGAATCATGTCCACAATTTTAATGACCAACCAGATCATATGGATTTTAGATCAACAGAAAATAAACACAACTTTCTTTTTACAGCACTTTCAGTTGGAACTCAAAATCTTTTGGTTCTCAGGAAGCTACTCACATTAGTGTGGATTGGGCCTCAGCAAAAGGATAGCCTCCTTTACATGTGAAGCAATATAAAAAATATACACACTGCTCACAGCGGCGAACTGCAAACACACCTTTTAAATGAGAGCCTGGCAGTGTAGCCACATCCTGACTGGAGGTGGCCTTTCTGACAGTGTTCTCAAGTTACTCTTCTGTACCGATAGTGGCGGGAGTCATTTTATTCTCCCCTCCTCATCCGGAAGAGGAGGAGGCTGTGAATTCCTGTGAACTCCATGTAAAGCGCACACACCGCCAGGCGCTGATGTGAGATGTCACCTGCCTGCCTTCATCACTACTGCCCAGTCCTTTTATGCTTCTGTCTTAGCCATGCAAGTTGCTGCGTGGTTTCCCCACGGCCAGAGCGATCCGGTGCCTCTCGGCACAGGGAAAGCTTTGGGTTGGAGTTAGTACCCCTCAGCCCCAGTGTGGTCTGCATACACGGTAATGGTCACAGTCAACAGAGCAGGGTGTAAGTGGCAGGGAATGACATGACACCACACCCTGGAACTTTGATCCAGGGCTCAGAGGTAAATGCTGGACTAAGTTTAGATCAAGACTGCTAAATCATAACGAATATTTTCTTTTCTTTTTTTGGGGGTGGGGTGGGGGTATTCTCAAAAATCCATGTTACGTGGAGTTTGACTTTCTTTAAGCTTCCATTAGTTTATGACCGTTGAGCATGTATTCACCTGAACACATTGTCGCTTGTCAATCATTATGTCATGAGACTTAGACATCACCACAGCACTGTTACTTGTAGAAAAAACTCAAGATCATTTCTTTTAATAATATATTAGTTGCCATTACATGAAACATGGTTCTCAACTGTCTTTGATTCAGCAAAAACTGGTAATGGTGAAACGTAACATTATTTTGAAAGGTTACTATGGCATAGAATACAATAGTGATTGTTTGGAGTATTTTAGTAGACATTCTGGCTGAAGTACATAAAAATTATGGTTACCTTAATGGAGCTCTGCCTCCCCTTATTGACAATTCTCAAAATAATTTACATTAGTACTGCTTTAACTCAGGTGACAAGTATGGAAGACAATCACAGTATTCTAAGATAGCAAAAAGAAATGTATTGCCCAAAGTCCCACAGCTGGGGTTGGAGAGATGGCTCAGTGGTTAAGAGCATTGTTATTGCTCTTGCAGAGAGGACCTAGGTTTGGTTCCCAGCACCCATACGGTGGCTGACAATCCTCTGTAACTCCAGTTCCAGGGTATATACCCTCTTCGCCTAGGTGGGCGGGCACCTGACACATACATGGTGTACATACATATATGGAGGCAAATGTGCACACGTGTGAAATAAAAATAAATAAATCTTTAAAATAACAGCAGTTTCCACAGCTGCTCCACTCAAAATGCTGGACTCAATCACACAAGTTTAAGGTACAAATGTTATCCACTTTCCCCAACTAACTAAACAAAACCCCCAAAGCCTAGGGCATGGTGGTGTACTACTTTAATCCCTGCACCAGGGAGGTAGAGGTAGAAGGACCAGACAGAGCTGAACACCACTTTCCCTAGGGTCTATATGTTGTCAAAATTTGATCAGACTGTGTTTGCAGAACGGATGTCAGCACAGCACACATCACCATATAACACACGTTTAGGAAACTGATGGAGACAGTTACAACACTTAACTGGGTTATAGACTGTTTACTTAGATAACGGGAAACTATTGCTAATAAGGTATGCACACGACGTTCTCCAGCACAGGCTGGCTTCAACCTGGCTATGTAGGGTGACTTGCAACTTCTGATTCTCCTCCCTTCCAAGTGCTGCTGGCACTGTGTGCTACTACATTGACCACACCCAGCTACATACACTTCAACTCGTAGGAGGCGCCTCACGGCAGCTGTGTTTTTAGTCTGTCAATCTAAAGAAAAAAAATCTTCTCTAAGTTTACTATGGCAAACTAAAATGTTCTTGTATTGTGTCAAATCTTGGGCTACTAAAACGATACAATGATTTTATTCTATCTTAATCTCATTTGGTGCTTTGTTCATCTGAGCCTCCACCCATCCTCCCCACCCCACCCCCAAAATCCACCAAACAAGAAAAAAAGAATACATATTTTTTCTCTCCCAGAAAGAAAAATTCTAAATTAAGGCAGATCAATGACAAAATATGAAGTTCTGTTAAAAACAAGTGAGCAGAAAACCAGCAAAGAGATGCTACAGAAAAAAAGTTTTCCACTTATACCACCTCCCAACCACTGATCTTTTCCAAACCCGGCAACATACTTTCCACTTGAAACGATAAAGACGGGAACTTAAACTGGGTGACCACCAGGGCACAAGATGAAATCTTCTATCAAATATTGGTATTTGACGGTACTACTAAAAGCCACACTAGAAGCTGGGCATAGTGGCACACACCTTTAATCCCAGCACTCAGGAGGTAGAGGCAGGTGGCGCTCTGATTACAAGGCTTGCTTGGTTGACACAGTGAGTTCCAGAACTATATAGTGAGGGCCATGGAGTGAGACCCTGACTTGAAATAGACAGACAGACAAGAGAGAAGCCTCCCTGCAAACAATGAGCTTTACAAGCACCACCTGCACAGCAGGGGAAACAACCCCTAACCACCTAGCACACACACTTATTCCCTTAAAGGGAGCTGAAGAAAAGGTAGATCTAGAAAGACATGAGAAGATGGCCTTGAAGACCTGCTATGCCCAACATTTCTGACAAGATGAAAACAAAAACAATAGCAAACGTTTGTTTTTCCTGATTTTCTTTAATGCACTTTCCACCTCACACGGACACTACTGGGTGTCTCAACAGCATCTGTCCACACCTTCCCAGCAGGTACCCTGGAAAGAACTCTTCTTCCCACTCGTGTTTGGGGAGGGTTGCTTTGAAGCACAGTAAACCCAACTCTTACAGTTGGCCATAATTAATGGGTAGTGACATTAATATTCTAAAAATGGATTATCACACACACTCAAATCACACTAAAGTCTCAACTTACTTCAAAATCTATTTTCTTTCTATTGTAGCTTTTATTCCCGATTGTTGTATAAAATCCAAGTGGGAAGAATGTCTTTTCTTTCTTTGCTGTTTCTTCTTTTCCTACCTCTTCTTCCTCCTCTTATTCTTCTATACATTTCCTTCCTTCATTCCTCTTTTTTAAATTGTCAATGACAAGAGGTTAAAGAAATGGGTCATTAAAGAAACCAAAGTCTAGTGAACAGCAAAAACACATCAGAGAGCTCACATACCCTGCTGTGTCACGATGTTAAATCACTGACAAGGTTTTGTCTTTGTTTCTGTAAAGGACATTCTCTTAGCCAGGACCGCCTACTTCAGCAGCTGCCGGTCCTCCATGCTCTTGAGCCGCCTCTTCCGGGGCTGCACAAAGTCATCGTCTGAGTCATCACTCAACTTACTGTCTTCTGGTTCACTCCTGAATTCTAGTTTCGGGAACCTTTTTTCTGGGTAAAGATTCTTTAAAAGTTCTTCAAAATAGCTTTCAAGTTTCATACCAGCATTGGCTACTTCCGAATCAGGCTGTGGGATAAAATAAAGATAGGAATTAAAAACCGAATGACCAATGTCTCAGTCAATAAAAATAACCTCATAATTCTGTTCCTTTCTGTCACACAACTATGAAACAACGGACTCTTGAGACTGTAGACAAGTCACTAATGTCAAACAAGTAAAAGCCTGGCGACATCAAGTCTAGAGAGGGCCAGCTAATAAGTAAGCCTTTTTACCGAATCGTTCAAAGGGAAGTGGTAATGACAGGGACGGATCACACCAGCAGGATGACAAGTTCATCATGCAAGGTCATCTCAAGAATGAAAAAGCGTTGTATAAAGGAGGAACAAACAGAAAAACCAACGGGATAGACATAGTTCAGACAGAGTGATATGAGAAGATTGTTAAAGTTTCAGTACTTTTTGGTACATTCTTACTATTTCAAGACAAACACAGAAATCAAAGTCTAAAAGTACACAGAGTTTGCAAAATAAAAAGGAAGGGGTGCTAGACACTTATATATTTCCTAATCTGTCTCGTATCAGGTGTCTTGCATTTGTACTCAGTACATGATAAAACTGCAGATTACATGTGGGCAAGTCTTCCTAAACCTCCTTTATACCCTGGCAGGCCTGGGCACCTCACTGTTGGCAAGCTGTTTGGGTTAAGATTACTCTTCACATTGCCGTTGCCTCTCCCCATCTCACCTCATTGAATTCAGCACAGTTTTGGAAGATCAATCTAAAATCAGCCACAAAATCTTCAGGCTTTGTATACATGCAATAATCCTCCTGAAGTCTTTTCTTGATGGTTGATAAGTCCATTGGGTTTTTAATTATTTTATAATAATCAGGCACCTTACAAAACAAATGAATTATTATAATATAAGTAGATAAGTTGTACCTGATCCTATATACATATAATATATATAATACATGCGATTTTTCTTCACATTATTTTGTCATTGGTGAAAAATAAAATCAAGAAACAAACCTATTCACCAACATTTACAAGTGCCAGCTGTGTCCCACAAACAGGCTTTGTGGTATATTCTCTAAAACCTTAACACTTTGGTTTACATTCATAGTATATACTGTTGGGCATCATACAGGTAATTTAAGTGTATCATATATGTATATCGTGTATCATGACCGTCTCCCCCCTTCCTTCCCTTTAGCCCACACTCTCCTTCCATCCCAACAGTCTCCTCTCCGAAACCCCCAGGTCCCTTTACCTTTTATGTAGTATATGTGCATGGGATACCAGGAGACCCACACCTGAGAGAAAATATGCAACATCCTTCTGCATTTCATTTAATAGAATCATCTCTATTTGTATCTATTTCCTAGAAAATGGCATACTTATATTCTTTATAGATGGCTAAAAATCCAATATGCGCACACACCCCATTTTTTAAATCCATTCACCTGCAGATGATGAGCAGTTAGGGCTATTCTCTCAGCTACTGTGAACAGAGCTATAATAAACATGAATGTGCAAACATCTTTGCTGTACAATGTCCTCTGAACATATAACCCAGAACAGGTGAAGTGTAAATGGCCAATACACATTCAGAAAAAAATGTTGAATAACCTTATCAGGAAAGTCAAAACTAAAATTACATTGAGGTGCTACCTCCCACCAGCCAAATGGCTACCATTAAGTAATGAACGCACAGCACGCTCGCACAGAATGCTGATGAGGTATAGGAAAAAGCAAACTCTTCTATGTTACTGGTGGGAATGTAAATCAGTTCATTATGGAAATCAGTATGGAGGTCGCTCAGTACCATATAATCTAGTTAGCAATGATAGTGAGACCCAGTCTCATTATAAAAAAAAGGAAAAGAAAAAGAAATTGAGTAACTGTTAACTATGTTTGTTTTATCCAGCAAAGTTATCTGATAAATCTGATGATGGAGAAGCCTTGTTGTGTTGGTGCATGTTTTGAATACCAGCACTGGGGAGGCAGATTCAGGAGAATCTCTACGAGGCCCAGACAAGCCTGGTCTAGCTAGTGAGTTCCAGGCCAGCAGAAGTTACATGGTGAGACCCTGTTTCTAAACAAGCAAACAAATACCCATTTAAAAAGGATGGGCCAGCGTGGTTTTGTTTTGTACTATTCCAAGTAGTGAAGGGCCCAACCCTCAGATGTGACACTAAATAGCATGACCATGGAAACTCTAACCCTGCTGAAAACTAGTTTATACTCCAAATGAACAACCCTGGCAATTTCAGGGTAATTTTTAATGCAATGATTTATATAAAACGGGTTAACTTGTGCCTGCTGCTATTATGAATAAAAATGCAAGTCAGAATCATAGAAAGTAACAATTTTGGGTTCTATTTTTAAGTTTCCTTTTTTGGGCTGCGGCTATAGTTTAGTGGTTACATATATAAACCCTGGGCTCATTCATTCCATGGTCCTCTAAGAAAAGTCTTATTTCCAAAAATGTAACTATTGGAAACAGACATGGTGATGCAAGATGACCCCGTCAAGTCCAGGGCCAGCATGGTCTACACAGGCTCCCAGGCCGGTCAGAGCTACACAGGGAGTTGTATATTCACTGTACATGAAACTGACCGTCCTGAGTTAAATTATTTATGAGTTTTCTTTTTTCTAGTTTGCATTAATTTTTAAAATCCAACAGACCACAAGTAGAAATGTAACTGGGAGGACAAAGAACTCAAGATCATTTTCCCTCTATGCTATGAGGCCAACCTCAAATACACGAGATCCTGTCTTAGAAAACCCAACCACAACCGCATCTATTCAATTTCAAAAAGAGCTTGGAAACCACAGAAGGAGGACGTATTTTATGTGTGGCATCCTTTCTGATATCAAAGTTATTCCACACTTTCAATATAGATCTGTTTGAGATAAACATTCTCAGCATTTTTCCATTATTAAATTCTACTTGCTATTTTAAGTCTAGACCTATCAAGGAAAATATGGAAAATTATAGAGGTCTTTAAAAAAATAGTGGCTATTTTCTCCAACAACTCATGCCATATAAGCCTTCTAATACAGACACCAAAAAACCATCGCAACATGAAAGTAAATTGGGTGGGATGAGAAAGGATATCCAAGAAACAAATAGAAAGTATCAGCCAATTGGCACTAACATATTTATCTGTTTAGGGAAATTACATCATCTGTAGAAGATGAATGAAACTTGGTATCATCATGTTAACTAAATGAGAGAGAAAGAAATGCTACAAAGGACACGTAAATAAAGTGGGACTATGTGGAGGGAGGAAGAGGCTTTAAAGTGGTAGAGAGGAGACAAGGCAGGGTAGTGGGAAAACAGAATTCTGTCCTCTGTCTTCTATAGAATTTAGATTTAATACACATCCACCCACCTACCCATCCACACATACATAAACACAGGCACACATATGTGCTACAAGAAAACAGACATCTTGGGGAGAAGGGAATCAGTGACACAAGAGGATATAAGAGGATAGTGAGTGTGTGTGCATGTGTGTGAGTGTGTGTGTGAGTGAGTGAGTGTGAAAGTGAGTGAGTGTGAGTGTGTGTGTGAGAGTGTGAGAAAGTGAGTAAGTGTGTGTGAAAATGAGTGAGTGTGTGAGCATGTGTGAGTGAGTGTGTGAAAGTGAGTAACCGAGTGTGTGAAAGTGAGTGTGAGTGTGATTGAGTATGTGTGAGTGTGAAAGTGTGTGAATGTAAGTGTGACTGTGTGTGAGTGTGAGTGTGTGAAAGTAAGTGTGTGAGTGTGAAATTGAGTGTGTGTGACTGTGTGAGTGAGTGTGTGAATGTGTGAAAATGAGTGAGTGTGAGTGTGAGAGTGAGTGAGTGTGTGAGTGTGTGAGTGTGAAAGTGAGTAAGTGTATGAGTCAGTGAGAGTGTGTGAGTGTGAAAGTGAGTGAGTGTGTGTGAGTGTGTGTGAAAGTGAGCAAACTAAATGATGTGTAGATTTGAAAATTGTGATGGAAAATTAATGACTAAGAGGTATACGTTAGGGCTTATGGCAAGAAGAAAAAACTAGAGAGAAGATAACTCCCTGACTTCGGAGTGCAGGACCAGAGCCCAGGAGATAAAGGAGACAGCCGAAGTTCACCACCAGCATCCTCCCTGCCCCATTATCTTGAGAGTAAGGCCACTGAGCCTGCCGGCCTTGCTCTCTGTGAAATCTCTGTAACCTTGGAAACCTTGTGAGCTGAGACTAGCGGTCTCAAGCCTCCCTCTCCCTTTTCCCTTTGAAAAACGCTTCGCAATTGTAAGCACAGGCCTTACTCTTCGATAGAGTGAGGTCCCAGCCGGTTTGGTTCTTAGCAATAAAAACCTTTTGCTTTTTCAGTCAGGAGTCACTTCCTTGGAGGTTGAGGAAACCTGGTATGCACAACACAAATGTCATAATGACACCAAATATTTTATGTGCTAAAAAATTAGCATGTATTTAATAAGAAAGCATCGTATGTGTTGTGTCTTTAAGATGTGGATTAGGAGTCTGGGGAGACAGTTCAGTCATGCAAGCATGAAGACATGTATTTGATCACAAGCACCTATGTAAAGAGTCAGGCATGAAGCACACTACAAACCCAGCACCGAGGGGGCAGAGATAGGCAGATCCCTGTGGATTACTGGAGAGGCCAAAATCCCACGGCGAGGGCCTGTCCCTCTGCACCCTCACCCTAACACCTGCACACATTCTCCAAAAAAAAAAAAAAAAAAAAAAAAAAAAAAAAAGAGACTTGTATTAGATACAAGAAATTACTGAAATGAGAAATTAGGTTCTCATAAGCCAAATTTTAAAAAATTATTCTACCATGTAAACATGTATAAATGACATTAACACTTACAGTTAGAGGAACAGGGTCTTGGAAAGCCAGGCTCATTTCATGGCAGTAAAGAAACAGAAGCAGACGCTCACACTTCTAATGAAAAACACAAATAATAGAATAGTGAAGACACAGCTTATTTTCTCAAAGAATCCACAGCCCTCAGAATAAAAATTAAAGCCCTAGGAATACATAAGAAACACTGAATCTAGCCCAGTGGTGGTGGTGCACGCCTTTAGTCCCAGCACTCGGGAGGCAGAGGCGGGTGGATCTCTTGAGTTTGAGGTCAGCCTGGTCTACAGAGCTAGTTCCAGGATAGCCAGAGAGACTCAGAAAAACCCATCTGTAATTATGTAAATAAACCAATCTCATTAGAAAACATATTTTGAGTTCCTCAAGATAAGCCCCCCCATCCCGTCCCCATCATGGCAGTCACCAGAGGAAACATGGTGGCAGAGCCTGTTCCCTCCCTGTAAGCCCCGTCTTAAAGACCCCTCTGCAAACAGAGATGCCCTCTGTGAGCACTGTCCCTTCTCCCTCTCAGGCCAGTGAACGCCTCCCAGTGGACATCTGCAGTACTGACACTGCGTACAGGTCCCCTCTTACACGTCAATTTTCATGCTGTCTTTCTTTCCTCTTTTTGGTGCTGGTATCGTGCGTGTGTGCGTGTATGCGTAGGGGGGACGGACGGAGACATGGTTTCCCTCTGTAGCCCTGGCTGTCCTGGAACTCAGAGATCCACCTGCCTCTGCCTCCCGAGTGCTGGGATCAAAGGTGAGAGCTACCACTGAATAGTTTATTCTTTTTTAAAATATATTTTGATAAATTCTTTAGTAATAAAAAACTATAGTTAAATGTCAAATAAATTTTAATGTGGTTAAAGTATGGAATTATTTGCAGGAACAGTAAATCAAAAAGTCAATCTCACTGTCAATTCTCAAAAATACCCTGAGAAAGACAATTAATTGGTGGGAATCAATGACAGAAATTAAGGTAGGCAAAATTTAAAAGCTTAGACTAAAGCTAGGCATAGTGGCTCATGCCTATAAACCCAGGGATCGGAAGCTGAGGCATGACGACTGGACTAACAGTGTCACCCTGTCTCAATAAACAAACAAACCAGAAACAAAGCTAGGCTTGGTGAAGTGTATTCAAATGTCTTGGAATGCTGTGAATTCAAGGTCAGCATATGCTACACAGAGAGTTCTAGGCTAGCCTGAGCTGCAGAGTGAGTCCTTATGTCAAAGGAAACAAACAAACAAACAAACAAAAGAATGAACAAAGCCAAAGCCTTTGTTGGTTTAGGTGGGCAGTCAGTAAAGTGAGGCGTTGCCTGGACTGAGTTCCAAGAGGAATGCAAGGAAGCCAGATGTGCTGATGCGTACATATTTAAAATCACAGCACTATACATGTGGAAAGCAATGGAACCTGGCGGCTCACTGTCAGGCAACCTACACTAATCCCCAAGCTCCACAGCAATGAGAGAGTATGTTTAAAGAAGGGAGGGCTGTCTTCTAGTACCACCCCTCCCCTCCGAAACCCAGCTCTACTGCAGGACAGACTATTCACTCTGTTCAAGCACAGTACTAAACCTCTACCTAATAAAGTTCTCTTCTGTTTAATTAAGAAGTTACGGTTCAGTGGGTCAAGTACTTTTCTATTCGAGCACAAGGAACTGCATTTGGATCCATAACACCCAAGTAAAAAAGCCAGGCATGGTGGCATCTGGCTGTAACTCTAGTGAGAGGAAGAAGGGGAGACAAGTTAACTCAGATGCTCGCTGGCCAGCCAGTCTAGCCCCGAGAGCTCCAAGCTCAGTGACAGGCCTACTCTCAAAATACGGTGGAGAGCAAAACAGGCAAATACTCTGGCCTCCATGTGTAGAGGCATGGGTTAGAGACCTCCCACATATGAGTGTATACACACACACACACACACACACACACACACACACACACACACAACTATCTATCTATCTATCTATCTATCTATCTATCTATCTATCTATCTATCTCTATTGATTAATATTCCTATTCTGTGTGTAGAAAGAAGGAGGGGAAAGGAAGACTTAAAATTCAGTATAAAAACCAATGCGTGCAATCATAACCATCCTAATACTTTAGTGTAGAAATGCTCGAATAACTAAACAAAACAAAAAGAAACTTACCCTTTTATCTATTGGTGTTAATTTAGTAAGGCCTTCACTTTTCCTTTTTTCTGAGTTGTGACTGGGAGCATCACAATCATATTCAACTTCTGGCTTAGATAGGTCTCGGCAGAAAGTACAAATCCATTCTCCACTGTTGGGACAACGTGCCTCTTTGAGAACAGCAGGTCTCTCTGCACCCCTTCCCACCACCCGCAGGTCATCTATGACGAGTGTCTTTGGCCTGGGTCTTACTCTCTGCTTGTTTATCACTTACTACTAGGGACAAAGCAGTATGGAGAAGGAGGGGCGGAGATGTGACGCAAAGGTCTAAGAGGTCAATAGTAAGTTCTGACCAAGCATCACACTTCTGACCCCCTCATCTCTCATCTCCTCCACGCTTGGTTACAGCTGTGTGCCTAAGGCTGTTGGCGTTCATCACAACAGGTGAGCTTGCAGAAGCACACAGACCCGGAAGCAGGAACAGCAAACTGTACATCAGTGATGGGGACTATGAGGAATACATTTCTGCCAAATGGAATTTAATTTCTGCATGCATTGTTATTAACAACTGTCAAAACTCTTACAACTGTTCATTTAAAGCCGTTCCACCCCAGCCTCCCCCCCCTTTCATGCCCTTGCTGCCAGTTGCATCCACTTTCCTGTGCTCCCACGACGCTCTAGCACATGCCACACTCTGAGTTTTACCTGGGGAAATGTGTCAATGTGGGCACGTGACAGGTGAGATGGAACACTTTAGGACACTTCTCACAGCACAGCAGCTCCCCTCCATTCTGACAAACCGCACACCAGTCCTCGTTGGGGTCGTCCTCCTTCCTGGCCTCCCCAGCATGCACCGGGGACTTCTGGGAGGCATCCAGCCACTCGGGCTTTCCATTGGAGGGATTTTCCTGATGAAGTCCCGGTTGGTCTCCTGTGCTATCAGGAGCATCAGATCTTAACACAGCTTCCTCAGAAGAGCTCTGATTACTGTTTAAGAGGAGGGAAGTAAGTATGCTTCTTGGATAGTTCGTCTGCAACCAAAGAGAGAACATTATTTATGCCTGCATGTTTTGAAAGTGACCTTTTAGTCTCCTGATGGCTACAATAATTAAAGACCAAGCAGGCAGTGTGGAAGTCATCACATCAGCCGTATAGATACTTTATTGTAGCTACTAAGCCAAATTTCACTTCAGACACTGTGCTGGCTAGTTTTATGTCAATTTGACATGAGCTGGAGTCATCTGAGAGGACGAAACCTCAGTTTAGAAAATGCCTCCATAAGACTGGGCTGTAGGCAAGACTGTACTGCATTTTTCTTAATTAGTGATTGATGGGGGAGGGCACAGGCCACTGTGTGGCAGTCCACCCCTGGGCTGGTGGTCCTGAGTTCTATTAGAAAGCAGGCTGAGCAAGCCAGGGCGCAGCACCCTCCAAGGCCTCTGCACCAGCTCCTGCCTCCAGGTTCCTGACCCATTCTGAATTCCTGCCTTGAGGTCCTTTGATGAACTGCCAAGTGGAAGGGTAAATTAAATAAACCCTTTCCCCCCAAGTTGCTTTTGGTCATGGTGTCTCAGCACAGTAATAGGAACTCTAAGACAAAGATTGTGCCCAAATTCTGGGTTTGACACTAGGATGGTGAAGATTCCCAATTAAAAGGTGTTACCTCCTTCAAGTTTTGTTTCTGAAGTTTGAAATTAGCAAATGTGGATATAATTAAAAACAGACATTCTTTGGAGGTAATTATTTCCAAACTTAATTTGTTCCAGAACAACAAGTTGGCTTAGTTGGAAAAGTTATCAGATAACATGAGTTCAATCCCTAGAACTTTCATAGTGGGACACTTTATTCCAGCAACTTGTTCTGCCTTCCATATGCCCCACCCCCTACATATAGTCACACAATACAAACAAACGTTTAAAATGTTTTTGGTTTAGTGTATGGAGAGCTGCCTCGGTGCAGACCCCAGGTTCAGTCCCCACTGTGCACACGGTGTGGCTCACAATCACCTGTAACTCCAGTCTCACATCTTGAATGGACCTATACAGACATCAGACACACACGTGGTAGACACACATGCAGGCAAGACATGCATACAAGCAAAATAAATAAATCTTATTTAAAAACTAGCTTGTTCTACTTTTTTCGTCCTTCCTTTCTTCCTCTTCTTTTTCTAAAGAAGGTTGATCTTCTGCCTCAGTCTCTGAGTAGCTGTAAGATCCCCGTGACTCCTGTCTGAATAGTTCTCTCTCCACAATTGCCCGAGGCTTCTGTTCTCATACTATAGTCTACTTCAAGGGTGTTCTATCAAGGGTGTCCCTTTTCTTGCCTCTTAAATAGGAACAGTACTGCAAGCACTCATGTAATTACATTTTGAGGTCTAGATTCTTCATCTGATTCTTGTTTTACTATAACAACAGGAAAATCATAATTTTCAGGTGGTCCACTGTTTTCTTGTTTTATTCGGATTGGCTCCAACATGACTACTGGGACTTTGTGTGTAGAATCAGCTCCTGCTGGTTTGCTGGAAGAGCCTGAGCTGTGAGGGAGAAAGCAGGAAAGGGTCACAAGATCAAGACAACCTAAAAAAAATAGTAAATTGAAGAACATTCTGGAATAATGTAACTTCACAATAATAATCCTATCTTATATCAGCAGTGAATGATGTTAAAATTGTGGAGTCAGTACAAATTTCCTTGATGACAGAAAGGCCCTACAGGCTAACCTTTCACATAGATTCACCATGTATCTGAAAACTTAAGTAAAACCAGACTTGAGTATTCTAAGGTTCTCTAACTGATCAACTAGATATGGCGTCTTAGAAGTAACATCTGTTTAGTCTTTCCCAGGTTCCTGTCTAGTCACAAGAACTCTAGGGACAGCAACAACGCTAGACTCTTTATGCAGTTTGTGATAAGACACTAGAATATCATTTGTTGGTGGTTGCTCCTTAAGGGTAGTAGCTGGGCAGAGGCCTTGCACCATTAGCCGCTTTGTGCTTTTTTTGTCTAATTTAAACTTTATTTTTTATGGATTTATTTATTTATTATATATACAGTATTCTCCCTGCATGTATGCCTGCAGGCCAGCAGAGGGCACAAGATCTCATAACAGATGGTTTTGAGCCATCACTGGTTGCTGGGAACTGAACTCAGGACCTCTGGAAGAACAGCCAGTGTTCTTAACCACTGAGCAGCCACTCTGTTCTTATGGATGGAACTACAGGCAAACCTCCTCCTAGACAATGCTACTGTCAAATGGTAAACAAAAAACGGAGCTTATGTCTAGAAGCAAATTTTAAACACAATGAGGGCCGAGCTAAGTAATAACTTAAAGCTGGGCAGTGGTGGCACACGCCTTTAGTCCCAGTACTAGGGGAGACAGAGACAGGCGGATCTTTGTGAGTTCGAGGCCAGCCTGGGCTACAGAGTGAGTGCCAGCATAGGCTTCAAAGCCACAAAGAAACACTGTCTCTCTCTCTCTCTCAAAAAAAAAAAAAAAACAAAAAAACAAAAACAAAAACAAAAACAAAAAACAAACAAACAAACAAAAAAAAAAACCCTTAAAGAAGGAGCTTAATTGTCAACCCGTCAGGGAAATAATGCTTGTTTTTTTATATTTGCCTACAGATTACTATGTTATAACCACTTTTGTCTTTGCTAGCATGATGTCAAATACTATCTTTTTTTATTGTATCAACATATTAATTAAACATTAACAGTTAAAAAAGATGTACCAAATATCAAAACACTGGCAACTGCAAGGAATTTATGCACAGTTGGCTCTTAATGTCCATGGCCTTCACATATATGGATGGAAAGTACCTTGTGGGAAGGAATGTGCCTATAAATGAACATGTACACACTATTGTTTTTTTTGGGGGGGGTGTAGTTATTCTCTAGACAATGCAATATAACAAGTTTTATAAAATAGCCGCATTGTATTAGGAATTGTCAGTAACCTAGAGATGATTTTAAGTATACACCCAAGTATGTGCAGGTCACATCTAAAGACTGTACCGCCTTGTATAAAAGACTTGGAGCATCTGCAGATTTTGGTATACTCAGAAGGATCCTGGAACCAATTCTCTGGATACTGAATAAAGGCCATACCAGTAAATATCGTTAAATCAAATTACCTTCCTCGGCTCCCAACGCTGGAGGCACTAGGTGAGCGTATTGGGGGATGGACGCTAGTCATAGTGACAGGTCCTGAGGAGAAGGAGGACACAGACATATATAGGTGAATGGATAATTAGGCACTCAGGCTTGTTGAATGTGCTCAATTAAATTATAATACCAAAACCAAGAACATCAATACAATTCTATGGCACAATAAGCTTATCTTTAATATTTGCTACTCCACGGTGCTATTGACTTCTGGGCAGTGAGGAGGTCTGTGCATCACTGTATATCTCTATACTCCCACCCTTAAGTACTAGTAAAACATTTTCATCAAATCTTTTCTTGCAGTACAGTAGCTAGAGGGTTCCAGAGCCAGTGAGAACTGCAGAAGAGAAAGGGGCTCATTTAACCAGTGACATATAGGACATATAAGGTGTTCAAGGGACAGCAGGGTGGCTGGGAGGTTTAGGGCACTTGTCAGCCAGCCTGACAACCTGAGCTCAATCCCTGGAACCAAATGAGAACAAAGTGGAGAAGTCAAAGTCAGACGCAGATGTGAAGCAATAAAGACGTGAACTGCTGCTACTAAAAAAGTCTATGCTCAGGCAAATAAGTGTAATAACAGTAAAATCTATACTCTGGAAGTCTACTTAGTGTCTGGCAGTCCATAGTAGATAAATAATGTCTTCAGAAATGTTTTGCCAAGTTACACTATTATCTGTACACATGAAAGTACTTGATGACATTTTCATCAATGGAATTGTTTCTCTTTAAATCTTTGCTAACTCAGCAGTAAGAAACTAAATCCTGTTTAGGTTCTTCTTATGACTAGAAAGAGGAGACATTTTTGTTTAGTCAGTTTTGTTGGATGTCTTTACTGTATAAGGTGTCTTTTAGCAATACCAAGAGCATCCTAATTTATTCATATGTACTTGTCCTTTATTTAATTGCAAATTCATGTTTAAAATAAAAATCTCCGCTTAAATTTTGTAACCGCTATATTTTTTGGTAACAGTGTAGAAAGAATTGAGTTCACGCCTTTCCATTATTCCACATAGATGCTGTTGTATAGCTAATGCCTCAGAACTCAAACAGACGCCTCCAGGGAAAAGGGAGGCTCCTAAGATTCAGGAAGATCAGGAAAAATAGGAGACTAATGAAACCTTTCAAAATCAAGGATGCTCAAGTTGAAGTTAAGGTTCAGAAAGTCTGGTGGAGGGAACTAACTGCGAACTGCAGATGGCTCCCAGGACCGGGCTCTGCCGAGTTATCCACCACGCCAGGCAGGGTATGGGGAGCTCACTGGTTCACAGGCTAGATTTGAATGTAATTCTTTCTTTGCCTTGTAACCAGCACATTATCTGGATGTTATTTGTTCTTGTTTCCTCTGGAAGTCACATGAGAGATGCCTACTATATCAAGCTCCAGGAGTAATAGCTAGAGTGTTTCTTGGAGTAAACAGGTTGTTATTATAAGTTTTTTTGTGACAGGGTTTCTTGGCTGTCCTAGAACTCGCTCTGGCCTTGAACTCACAGAGATTCACCTGCTTCTGCCTCCCAAGGGCTGGGATCAAAGGTGTGATCAAAGGCCGCTGGCATTTGGTTTATGAAATACTATTTTTTTAAACACTTACTTTTATGTGAATTCGGTGTTCTGCCTGCATGTGCATAAGTGTTCCACATGCATGCAGCACTTGGGGAGGGCAGCTCTGAAGCGAGGCAACTGTAAGCCAGCAGGTGGGCGCCGGGAACCCTGTTCTGCTGCAGGAGCCATCTCTCAACCTCCTCGTATTAAGTCACATTAAACACAACTAAACACAATGAACAAAGTACCAAAGATGGCTCATTTATTTTAATTAATAGATTTGACTCTAGACCAATTACATTCTAGAAGAGGCCATATCCCAGGCAACTAAATGAAGGTGTGCTAAAATTTGCATCCTACCCCCCAAAAGAGAGGCTGAAATTGAAATAATATAATAGTTTAACTTTAGTTTCCTTCTTTGTGAGGAGTACTAGCTATATATGGTATAAAAACTCAGGATAGTGATATGGGCTCAGTGGTTTAAAGCACTTGCCACCAAGCCCGATGACTTGAGTTTGAACCCCCACCTGGTGGAAGGAGGAAATCAACTCTAAGTTGTTCTCTAACTTCCACAGTGCACTAAGGCATACAGGAAGAAGTGTACAGGCAAATAAAATAAACATATAAAAAGGAAACCTCAGTATATAGTTATTACATCACTTTAAAAAAGGCAGGACCTCCCCTCATTGTGAAAAATGAGAGAGGAATTTTTAATTATTGTTTGTAAAAATTAGGAAACATTTACCAATACAAATTCACAAGGGGGCTTTACCTGCAAGGCCTGGAGACGGCACTGACGAGTTTGGTGACTGCACCGTTCTGTTTGACGGGGGTCTGGGCTGGCTGTGGTCTACACTCACATCTTTCCTTGCAATGTTGTCCAACATGATAGTACTCGAACAATCAATCTTCCAAGAGAATAAGTTATGTCAGGGCAAACTAACTTTGTAAACTAAAAAACCACTTTAAGTTTACAAGAACACTTCAATCCTAAGTTCTATCTTTGTTTTTTTTTGAGGCAGGGTTTCTCTTTGTAGCCCTCAGTGTCCTGAAACTCGCTTTGTAGATCAGGCTGGCCGTGTGTGTAAATGTTCACGAGTACTTCACAAACAAATGTTTCATGTTTGGCTGTAGATATATCAAGACATTGAGATTGCCTACGTTTGCAGGGTAAAAGAAGGGCAAACGGGGCTGAAGAGATAGTTCAGCAGTCGAAGGCACTGGATGCTTTCCTAGCAACCACAAGGCAGCTCACAACTGTCTGTAACTGCTCCAAGGGATCTGACACCCTCTTTTGGCTTGCAAAGGCATCAAGCACTCTTGTGGTACACAGACATACATGAAAGCAAAATACTCTCACACACACAAACAAGCAAGCGGGAAACAAATGAGGACGATGTGGAGAACCAGCATCACAGCACTATTTCCTGCCCTTAGAAAGACTGTTAAAACGTCACTCGTCAGGGTTAAAGACGTAAGGGTTAACTGATCGTTAATTTAAACAAGCAAGGGCTCTCTGTGATATACGCCCATGGAGACAAGTCTGCTGGGGTTACTGAGGGAACCCCTGCCTCTTCCTGGTCTTCTATCTCTGGAATTCACTCTATTCTTACTCTCCACATTCTAGCTGGGCACTTTACGGTCTAGCGTTCATCCTGCTTTGCTCCTTTCCCAGCCTTGACTCTAGGGTGCATCATCTACAAACATCTTTAATGTCAGAGCCCAGAAAAACATTTTTTTTTTTTTTTTTGGTATGTCCAAGTGTTCATCATTTGTAATTTTACTCACATTTTATTTCTAAAGGATAAAATTTAAGCTTTCAGAAATAGCTGGTAAACCAATAAACCCACATCTTAAACTGAATCCAGATCACTGACAATTTTCAAATGGAGTTATTTATTAGAACAGATTATGTATAAACTTACATCCGGAAGAGATGGAAGATTGTAAGACCCTCCTGCTGGTGCGCTCAGATCAATCATGGGCGAACTATACGATTTTCCATCGTACCCTGCGGCACTTGTGATTGTGGGACTAGAAGGCGTGGAGGACGAGCCGCTAGCAGTTGTGGGCGGGGCCTGTCCACTGCTGATCTGCCACTAGAGGACCAAGGTGAGGACGAAAACAATCGAGGTAAGCAGTCACTCAGTATCAAGAGAGAAGGCACAGTCTGCTATTTCAGCTCAAATGTTTTTTCAATGGCAACAAGGGAGACAAGATGCATATTACGTGTGTATACACGTGTCAAGCAGATTAAAAAAATAAATAAGCTTCTTTTTTTTCTCCTGGCAGAGGATAGTTAGCATATACCAGAAAACCACTGTACCGTCTTGTAAAATATACATACATATACATGAAATGGACAAGAAACATTAAGAATACAAATCAACTTCGAAGTAAAGCTGGAAAATTAAAAACATAGATTATTTTTGTCCCTACATGAAATGACTAAAAATAATTAGCCACAAATTAGGGCTGTCAGGTTTTTATACTTCTCTTTCTTATTTTTCACATATGAATGGTATTGAAGAAAGCCTTCTCATTCAAATTGGAAGCTGTGATAAACACAAAGGTAATGATAGGTGTGCTGTGCTGAATGATACAAAATTGAATCATATTGTTGGGTTGCTTCAAAACCAACACAAAGTATAGTATAAATGATAGTTAGATAAAAGGCATGCAGTAAGTATGTACTAAGGCAAGGGGAACAAAATGTTCTCCACAAAATTATTTCAATTATTTAGTATATTTGAAAAGCAACATGAAAAAAATCTCATAATAGGCAGGCTGAATGGTTCCCTAAGGTTATTCAGCAGAAAAACACATTATCATTTATTTATATATGGATGGCATTGTAGAGTGATATTCTGAAACTTGTGTTGAAAAATCTTAGTTGTAAACATAACTGTAAAAAACTACAAACAGAAATATATGAAGTTGAGTGTGTCTTCAGCACCTATACATTCAACAATTTTATCTCATCCTTATATAACTTTGCTTCCTCCCTTTAAAGGATAATGAACCATAGTCGATGGACGCCTTTCTATGGTTTTCCCTCCATGTACAAGATAAAATACACACAGAAATGAGGTAGTAGCTCACAAAAATTCACGATAGCATCTTACTAGCCAAAAAAATGTATATATTACACGAGCATGTTATAATTTGGTAAATTTATGCACTAAAACTAATTTCTGCCAAGCTTGAAGGCCTGACCCCTGGAGAATACACAGTAGAAAGCAGAACATCTTCTGACCTCAAAACAGCAGCTGTGCCAAGAATTTTGCCCTAACCCCTACACCTCTACCTCTGTTTCTCTACCCCCCCCACACAAGCCAACCATTTTTTTAAGAGTAAATCTGATTCTACAAAGTTTAAGAAAATATAATCATATTCCTCACAATATTTCTCCTGGTTTATTTGCTTATTTATTCATTTATGTTTAGATTTTTATCCAGAAAACATTCAAGAAAAAAACTAGAGTATCTGCTGAAGCATGGGTACAACAGCATCCCCAACACTGCCCTGCTATGGGACTCTCTACTTCCCCTGGTAGGAATGTTTCCACCTGCCCAAGAAATGCCAAGGACAAGATGTTTCCTACCCTCTTACGGGTGCAGCTTAGCAAACAGCCCCAGTTTGGCCTTGAGGCCTTCTGTCTCGTGGGCAAAGCTGGGGATAGTGATGAGAAATACCCTGTGTGCCTCTGTCCCTGCTTTGAAGTACGCTGAGCCATTCCCACAACAGTATCTCAGAGTGCCAGTAGAGGCGCTCTTGTGCAGAGCAGCATGTAAGCCCCTGCTTTCTGTCACACTGAGTATAACTTGAGGTCTTTGGTACTTGGTCACTGGCAGAAGGCAATAATCAACGCATTAAAATCTAATAAATGGGGAAGAAGAAAAGTTGAGTGCTTGAAAAATGCCAGGTATTTCTTATATACTTTACGACAACTCCCAGCATAACTCTGCAATGAACTCCAATTTTTCTAGCTGGAATGAGACCTAAAAATAATGTATGTGCTAAGGTCATAAACTAGGAAAGCAAATACAATTTGATGCCAAGCAACAACTTAAACCTTCACTTATAATGATGAAATAGAACAGGTGTGAAAATTTAAATATTATTAAATAAAAACTGAGTATGTTCAATCAGACCCTAATGACATAAACAAACAGATAGTATGCAAGGACCCCCTTGATTATCCCTGAGATGTGTTTTCGTACCTCTGTCCCCACAGATGCGTTTCCAAGTATGCTCTGTAATTTCTATTCATTTAAAAAGGCAGGCATGCAGGCAACCTTCTTCACTTAGTGTACGTTTGTAAGTTCATATGATCCGAAGCACAGAGTAACAGCAGTACAGAAAACACTGCACAGAAAGGTAATACACACCTGCTTTATGGCCTGTTGAGCCAAAAATGCCATCTGCAGGGGGTTGGGTTTTATTGTCTGTCTTGGTACACTCTGGTTTGGTGGATATCGAAGCTGTTGAGGATAAGGAGGAAGAACTGGTCCATTGGGTTTAGGGCTGTGATTCTGAAAGTTTATTAAACGTGGTGGTGGATGCTAGAAAAAAAGAGAGGAAAGCACTGTAGTAAATGGCCTCTTTTCCTGCATAAAATCCCAAAGGAGAGCAGCTCTGCCGTAAAAGACTCACTGAGACCACAAGAAGCCATGTGGAGGATGGCAGTCATCTATTTTTTTTGGGGGGGGGAGTGACTGGGAAAGGGAAGGGAAGGAAGGGTGGGGTGCGCAGCAGGAAGGAGGGTAAAGAGGAAGGAAAGCAGCTGTCCCCGTGGAGGGCCAGGTGAGGGAGCACACCTGCTCTGTCTCCTCTGCCTACTGCTCAAGGCGGGCAGTCTCAGAGGTCCCAAGCGTCATGCCAGTCTCTTTTTGAGCACATTGTCTTCACAGTTGGGCATTTATTGCTTCTTTGTTGAAGATACCGTAAATGTGTATGATCAGAACAGAACTTCTTAGAGGGGGGAGGACGTCTTCCCCACAGGGAAACAGGAAGTCCTCACCACCGTAAAGTTCACGTCCCTACTGCCTCCCCTACTCCTGCAATTTCTTTCCCCCTTCCTCCCTTGGTTAAGAATGTATTACAGAACCACTAAAAACAGATCTTTATGCTGAAGTTCCACAGGTGACCCCAACAGCTCTGTGCTTTTCCTATGAACCCTGTGACATGAGGGTTTTATACTATGAAAAAACAAGCAGAAAACAAAGAGGACTTTACTACCGTAGAGATCTTCTACATTTTAAGGAAAAACACTCAAACGGTTTTTCAGGGAGAAGAGACATTTTCTGTCACCTGAGTCTCACCCTCTCAGTAACTGCTCAACCCAATAATTCAACAACAGCAACAACAAAAAAATGACACTTGATGCCAGAGGACTGGGACTAAATGCTAACCCTGCCCGTAACATTAAGACCCTTATAGCAGAGCACGGTGCAGGGTGGTATTCCACTCATTCCTGAACTATTACAGTTGGGTTAATTTATGAGAATATTTTAACAAATCCAAAAGACTATCAAAAATCAGGTATGATTTTTTTTTTGGGGGGAGTGGGTGAGTTCAGAGACAGGGTTTCTCTGTAGTGTTGCAGGCTGTCCTGGAACTTGTTTTGTAGATCAGGCTGTCCTCGAACTCAACAGAGATCTGCCTGCCTCTGCCTCCCAAGTGCTGGAATTAAAGGTGAGGGCTCAAATATGATCTTAAACAGCAAAAGTAGTGATATTTTGCTCGATTAATTCATTCAAGAAATACAAGATGAAAAGAAGAAACAGGGACAGTAACTGAGCATGGTAGACTTGCAGGCATGGACACAGTGAGAGCATGGCTATAAAGCACCTATACTGGTAATGTCCGTGCTCTCAAACAGCAGATACACCCACAGGGTGTAACAGCGTGGCCTGTATAGCACTAAATCAACAGTCTATCAAGTCTGCGCTGCTTAGTTTGCTACATAATGAACTACTCTACACTGGTTGTCACCCAGCATGTCAGGAACGCACGTGACACAGTTCATCTTTAGAAGAACTATGGAACTATCATGTAACTGACTTTTTATAAGCTAATGCTTTCAATCTACCTGTCCACACAGGCAACTGTAGAATATGATTTGCATACTCCACATAACCAGAAGCATAAAGACCTATTGCCTGTTTTAGACAGGCAGTGTAAAAAAAATTACGTTCATGCACAGTCACATGTACAAAAGCTGGTAGAAAATGAAGAAACTAAATATACAGGAAGACAGTAAACTAAGAGCCAGGAAAAAGGTAGAAATGGGTATTTGACAGAACAGATTTAAATATAAGAAAAAGGATAGAAGACTAAAAATAATACATAAGGTAAAGATGTAAGGAGTACTTCTAGGTTAGAAAATTAAGTTGTATAGTAGAGACTTCTTATAAATTATACTGCTAAATGCTACAGACTGAAAATCAAAAGCTAACTTCTGAGAAAAGTAGGCTGAATGCCTGGATGCTATTTCTGTTTGCCAATGCTTATATGTAAAAGCAACTTCCTTTACATGATTAGTAACTGCTTTGGTTACTTCTTGATAAAAAGGCAATTAAGATGATAGGTTCACTCCTTTCCAGGCTAAAAACTAGCTGCAGAACACGTGCTTTGGCATGTGCAGGGACCTGGCTGTGTCCCAGCACCACGAAATGAGCAAACAACAACAAGGGCATATATGTCTGTAACTCTCAACCAGGGTTGAAGAATTCTTTGAAAGCTACTTCAATGTTTTACTAAATTGCCATTCAAAAGGCAATGCCATTTGTATGCTTTTTTCATAAAGAACCACATTATATACACTAGTGTTAATAAACTACAAATAAAATGAAGTTTCCCCCCTAATTAACATTTCCTTTTTAAAAACCAGTTATTCCTCCTATCTGTATTCATTTTGGCTTTTGTTGCCATGACATTTTGAACTGAGCTTTGTTCTTAGATGTAATAACAATTCTTAGCCTAGTTCTGTCCAATGTGCTTGGCTTTTATACACGCCAGTTCATTAGCATCATTTACTAACATCATACAAACTCCCCGTACAGAGAGTATAAAATTAAATAAAAACTGTAAACTCTATGAAAGGTGTGGACGAACTCTTTACCAGGCCTTTTTCATCTAGGTATGTCTGGATCTAACCAGATTGGTTAAACGATTTCATAAAAGCACATAGAACAGAAGCTGGATTGGAGGGCTTGGAGAGATGACTCAAGTGAATCGGGCACTTGGTGAACAAATGTGTGTGCTGAAGTTCAGATCACCAGAACCCACAGAAAGAAAGCAGGGTGGGCATGGTGCTGACCTGTGACCTCAGCACCCAGAAGGCAGAGGCAGATGACCTCTAGGGCAAGGTGGCTAGCTAGACTGGCTAAATCAGTGAGTTCCCCGAGACCATGCCTCAGTGAGCGGTAAAGCAATAAAGGACTCATGTCAACCTCTGGCGTCCACAAAGGACAAGCGCATAGTTACCTGTACATGTGTGCATGAGGACATGCACAGACACACTTGTTCATCATACAATGCATACACATGCCAAGAAAGAAAAGGTTTGAAAAATGACAGAATATTACACATCTAGTAAGAATAGGCATAGTATACACGGATTTGCTCAGAAAAAAATTTAAAAGGCTGAAGACAGGATTCTAATGAGCCGCCTGATTTTTTTCTCCATTGATTATTGCCCTAGTTTCTAGAATGTAGTGTGGGTTTCTAAATATTATTTCCAAAGAGATTCATGCACCCATATAGGAATTAGAGGTACACAATTGTTTTTCATCCATTACAGGCATAAGTTATTTGAGAACACAAACATTTATCCTTTGCCAGAACTGGATGACAATGTATGGAGATTGAAAATAGATATTGCAAACAAATAAATCATTAAATCAGTTTGGAGTTGAGCTAAAAACTAGGTTCTGGGTCAAGGATCCTTTAATGCAGTCACTGTTTAATACCTAAATGAAGGACAGTGTGTGTGGGTGTTGGTTACTATAAGGTGCTGATCACAATCACACTACAGTTATCTAAGTTAGGACAGGCCTGCTTCCAAATTTACCTGGTGAGAGATGGAAGGCTGCTGGATGGGCCCCTGCATTCTAGGGTTTGGTAAACCCACAGGTGCCGGCCTCCGTTGCACCTGTTGCCTCTGAGCCATTACCTGTTGCTGCATATGCTGGAGCCGTAACTGAGCTAGGCTGATCTGTGTTGGAAACTTGGATAACTGGTTGGAAGGTAAACCACCTGGTGGCTGTGAGCTCTGTTCCACGACAGGATTCTGCTTAGATATTTGTGGCTGGCTCTCTTTATCCTCGATTACTAAAGAACCTAATTAAAGAGAAAGAAAACAAGGTAAAAAAAATTTTGATAACTGATGAAATGACACATTTTATTTTATATGGCTACTGAGTTGGCTCCTAATGAGGATTTTCCAGACAGGGTTTCTCTGTGTAGACCAGGCAGGCCTCAAACTCAGAGATCTGCCTGCCTCTGCCTCCAGAGTGCTAGGATTAAAGGCGTGTGCCACCAACGCCAGGCTCCCAAGGTTTTTATGTATATTCTATATGAACTGACCATATATAAATTTTTATGAAAAAATAATTCATTAAAAAATAATAAGACTTTCAAGAACAGCCATCTCCCTAGCCCACAATTTCTGTTTCTAAAGCTGTTTCTTTTAGTAAGGTCAATCAAAGTGCTGGATATACACCGATAAGCGTGGCTAGGGGCGTGTCCCAAACTGCCCTGCAGGGGCTCCATCCCCAGGCCTTTTCTTCTTCCTTGTATGAATGGCATTTGTGTCAGCCTCCTTCTTCTCTTCCCATCATGCAATGCGGTGACCTCACTGTCTCCCTCGCCAGCTGCTATTTCCTTTCTCACATATAATCTAGTCTTGGGGGGAGAAAACAACGTGTTCCAGGGTTCTAAAACAAACCCAGAACCCAACTTGCCATCAAAGAAAATAATGTTTGTTAGAAACAAAGTCTAAGGAACTTTGGAGCTTTTGTTCACATCATTTCCCTGTGATGCAACTGAAGAGCAAAAAGAATATTTATTCATTTAAGAGAGGAACAGGGTAGTTTAGTGGTAACTTTTGACTGCACTGCTTGCAAAGCCTACCGGCTTCCTAATGTTACCATGATGCTGTTTTCTGATTCAGTGAGCTCAATACTCAAGACCGAGTACATCTGTCTGTATGTTACCCATCACTTACACACTACCTCTCCCCTCAGCCCCTTTCTGTGCATTTGCACAATTTATAACCCGAACAAGAAAAGATCTAAACCCCCAACAAATGGGGAGGGAAAGAAAAACCTGCTGTAGATAGATGAAGTCACTGGGCCACTTGGCTTGAATAATGGCTTTAAACTCACACTTCTGTCCAGCCTTCTGACACGGTGACACAGTGCTGTCAACTATTGTCACCTAAAAGCTCGGGCTTGTAAAGTCAGAAATTAATTACAAAAAACAAGATTGGAAGAAAAAAAAAAACTCATAATAACTATGATTTTGTGCTGGGTAGGCTGTGGGTTGGGCATCTATAATCTCACACTTTGGAGGTGAAGACAGAAGATCAGGATTCTATAGTCTACCCTGATCGCATAGCCAGCTTAGGCTGGCCTGAACCACATGAGAACTGCTCTACCCTCACCTCCCAACCCCATCACCACCACGAAAAGGGTAACGTGAGGAGAGAGAAGTGTGTGAGTGGTTAGAAGCTCTGGCTGCTCTTTCAGAAGGCCCGACTTCAACTCCTAGTACCCACATTAGGTATGTCACAACCACCCGCAAGCCCAGCTCCTGGGGTTAAGTGCCCCCCCCCCCCTTCTGGACTCCATAGACACTGTACATACAACACCTAGGTACAAAGGCAGTTCAATAATAGCATGGGATGCAGTATCTCTTTAGAAAACATTCTAACAGGACCCCAATGGACATGGGTAATGTGGGTCACAGCACCACACAGGAAAAAACAAAACAAAATAAAAACCAACCCTAAAGACAGTCTAGAGGAAATATACTCTGACATACACAGAGGTAACAAACAGGATTACTGGGTCTGGAAAGATGGCTCAAGAGTTAAGAGCAGCACCAACTGCTCCTCCATTCCCAGCACTCCAATGGCTGCTCATAACCCTCTGTAATTCTGATTCCACGGTGATCAAGCGCCCTCTTTTGGTCTCCATGGGCACCGCACACATGGTGAATAAACATACATGCAGGCAAAACTCTCATATACATAAAACAAAACAAAAAAATAAACCGGAAACATAAAACAGGGTTTATGGGGGGGGGGTGAGGGGCATTCCTAGATCCCTAACTTAGATATCCCATAAGCTAACGTATTTTCCTATTATCACAAAACAAGTATGTATCTATTCATACGTCTGTGTTACCATATGTCTATGTTAATGACATAATGACTGGGAAAAGTGTGGCTATTAATGGATGGAGATATTATATTCAGTAATGTGACTTACCCAAGTTGATAATATTTTGGGCCCAGAAACTAGGATCACAGTGAAACTGGATGATGTTGTTGGTCACAGGAGAAGCATCACACCTTGCACGAAGAAGATGCCGTAACCGATATGTAATCTAGAAGGAAGCAGAGAAAGAACATTAGTGTATTTCTTGAGAATAGCTAAAACAGCTTCTGGTATGTGTACAAACAATCACATGTGGGTTATAACAGTGGTCATATAAATCAGGCATGGTGGTGTATGCCTTTAATCCCAACAATTCTGGGGCAGAGGAAGGAGACCTCTAGAGCTGAGGATAGCCTGTCTATATAATTCCAAGACAGTCTCTAAATAAATAAGTAAACAGAAAGATAGTTATACAAAATTTTCTGTTCAAATGTTATAATTTTGTGATATGACTCTGCTGTATTGCTTACTGAACTAAAAAAATATCTTAAAAGCAACAAGTTAAAACCAGCAGAGAATGGTCCAAAATGGGAGTCCTGCGAGAGCTCTTGTGAGTGTTTGTGAGAAAACTCCAAGAAAGCAAGAGTCTTATGACCTCTGTTTCTTCAAACCAAAACACAGAATTGTTCTTGGGGAGTGTTCCCATGATCCTCCCAGTGTAGCGGATAGCAGTGAGTTTACTTCAGTTGCTGCTAATCGTGTGTCTCTACGGAAAAACATGTTTTGCCACATGTGGCTTGTCCTTGTGAATGGACACCTTACCCAGGTGACGTCTCTTAACCCTCAGAGTATAAACCAATGCACTGAATAAAGGTGGCTGTTGCACGAGAGTTTAGTTTGCCTTAATTTTAGGCCCCACTCTCCCAGGTTCATGGCACCAACTAGCGTGGCAAATAGCCACTCTCCTGTCTCCCTGCCACACTCCCCTTCCTCTCTCTTGTTGCGCCATGTTCATGCCTATTGCCCTGAGGGACAAGAGAGGAGGGCATTGGAAACACCGGACCTACGTTAAAGATGGCCCTACTTTAACGTCAGGTCCCCTGTAAGAACAGCCAGTGCTGTTAACGGCTGAGCTAGCTTTCCAGTCCCTTATTACCTTTCAAAGTATTCAGAATCTAGATTTAGGGAACTAAGGAATCACAAAGAATGCAACCGAATCTCTATTTAGGAAATGAAATTAGCTGGGCATTGGTGGCGCGCCTTTAATCCCAGTACTTGGGAGCAGAGGCAGGAGGATCTCTGTGAGTTCAAGGCCAGTCTGATCTACAGAGCTGGTTCTAGGACAGGTTCCAAAGCCACACAAAGAAACTGTCTTGAAAAACCAAACCAACCCAACACCCGCCTCCAACCCCCCCCCCCCCCGGCAAATCAAATAAACAAAAACCTCTTAGTTTTTTTTTTTTTTAAAGTCTAAGCCAGATGTGGTGATATGTGCCTATGGTCCCAGTAGCTCAGGAGCCCAAGCCAAGCCAAGAGAACCGAAAACGATAGCAGTGGGTGGTGGTGGTTGTGGATTTAAGGATACAACTGTGTTTTAGGGGAGAGAAAGGCTTTCTATGGCAAAGCATCCAAAGATTACCATGTCTGAGTACTGAGTACTGAGGGCAGGAAGCTGGTAGTGGGTCCAGGAATAGACACTCAAAGGGGAAAAGGCCCTTGGTTGTTGGGATGGGTGGGGGGAGGCAGGAGACGCAGTATCCTCTGTCATACTTGCCCCTTCATACTTTCCTACCCGCTGCCATTACAAATGACTGTTTTCTCTTAGTCTCTACCAACATAGTTTTCCCTGCCTTCCCTCTCAATAGTACACAGATTTGAAGTTTAGTAGATGACAAGAGAAATACTAAGAAAGCAACGTTGAAGTTTAAATATTTCAAAAATATAGTACTTGACTGGACTTTTGAATGGATGCTCTCATTTCACAGGGCCTAGGCCAGTTCCTACCTCTTCCACAGATTGTGGCAAGATGAACTAACTAAATCAGAAGACATAAAATAAACAAATAAGGCTAAATCATACAAAGTGCTTCTGCATAGTCAGAAAGAATTCTCCTTTGATTGAGAGGGAAAGTTAACAACATAACACACAGACACACACAGCAAAATAGCCATTTTCTAACACACACACACACACACACACACACACACACACACGACAAAAGAATTGTCATTTTACCAAAGATAAAATAAAAATATCCACCAGGGCTTGATAGATGACTCAAGAGTTAGGAACATTTGCTGCTCTCTTTCAGAAGCATGTGTTAACACCCATGCTGGGTGGCCTACATAGCCTATAACTCCAGCTCCAATAGGTCTATGAACAGGTGCTCAACCCCACAACCAACAAGTGACATGCAAATCACAACCACAAGGATTCACCACATCACACTTGCTGCTACAGCTCTTAGGTAAACAATGGTCAAAGTAAGTGCAGGTGAGGCTGGAGATTGATGGGATGTAAATTGGTATAGCCATTATGGAAAACAGTATGGAGGTTCTTCAAACAATTAAAACTAGTGGTACATGACCTAGCAAACTCTAACCACATCTATTCCCAAAGAACTAAAAACATGGCAGAAATTTCTGGCCTTCCATGTCTATTATATTTTCACGGTAGTAAAGATAGAAAAATAACTTTACGTCCACTGATTGATGGACGTATATATGGATCTATATATCTTTGTATGTTGATGAATACAGTTATAGACATATTTACAGGTCTATATACCTTCATATATCAAATCTCACATACAATGGAATGATATTTAGCAAAGACAGAAAAACCAAAACCCCTGCTGTTTATGAGAAGAATAAAATAGTAGGATATGCTTAGTGATATCACTGTAATTGAAGTTAGCATAAGATAGAGTTGCTTTATTATCTCATACCAAATCTAACAAAATATCAAATATGTAGAAACTGAGTACTAGCAGTAGAAAAAGGTAGATAAGACTGATTTTCAAACAAATTATAAATGTGTCTATACTAAAATGATTATTTTTGCTTCAAGTACTAAAAACAAGTCACTGTTAATCATGAAAGAAAGTAAAAATAATTCATGATCAAGAGTAATTTTAGAAATGCTTACAGGTCAGTATTGTAATAGCATTCAGCCACACTTTGAGAGACCTGCTCTAAATTATTTATAAATATTTTTATAATTTAAAGTATTTAATAACTCAAATGAGCAAAACTTATATAACACATTGAGTACTATCTCTGCCACTTGATTCCAAGGACAAAAGCTGTGCTGTCTTAATACTTCAGAATGTAAGTATTTGTTGACTTGTAAGCCACAGCTTTGCTATTCAAACCAAAGCTGCTAGCGACAATATAGGCAGCTCTGGAAGCTCGATGGAGAAGGAGCCTGCCTCCCCCCCCCCCAACTCCCGGACAGAGGTAGCAACACTTCAGTGAGTTCACCTGGCGAGAGCTGTTTACTACCCAGCAGGGCATGCTGCTGTGTGAGGCAGTCAGGACAGTTACAGATTCGATGGTAAGGCTTGGTTACAACTCTTTCCAAGGCGGTGTTAGGTGTGCTATCTACCTTTGACGCTCTATTTTCATCATCTGGTAATGAGGTAAATATTCAACATGGGAAATGCTTGGGATTATATTGTGACAGTAAACATTTATTTTCAGTATTTATTATTATACTGGGTTCATTTGCCACAAAGGGGGGAAAAAAACAGAAACAAATAGGAGTGACAACAGGAGATTAAAATTGAAGTCCCATCATACTATTTCAGGTTAAAAAATTATTATTATTATTATTATTATTATTATTATTATTATTATTATTATTATTATTATTATTTTCAAGATGCTTCTCTGTGTAGCTCTGGCTATCCTGGAACTCACTTGGTAGACCAGACTGGCTTCGAACTCTCTGCCCCCGAGTGTTGGCACTAAAGCTCCACCACTGCCTGGCAGCTAAAAATATTTTATTAAATTGGTAGAAAAATAATGAATGGTGACTGTAATGTGTGGTAGACAAAGACTCACAATACAGACCTAGTACGTCAGAACTCTCACTCTGCAGACCAGGGCAGGCTGCCTCCATTTCCCCAATGCTGGGATTAACCCATGCACCACCTTACACAGTCACTTATCAATTTATCATCCAACACCACCCCCCACAGGGGTCTGTAGAAAATGCTGGCCTGGAACTCACAGGTCCGCCTGCCTCTGCCTCTGCCTCTGAGTGCGGAATTAAAGGCGTGTGCCACCGCCGCTTGGCCCTCCGCCCTTACCCCCTCCCTCTCTCTGACAGCCTCTATCTTACCAGCCGCTTGCTGTAAAGCAACGCTGTACTGCTACCACTGGAAACAGCCCATTTAGAAAAATGCATGACGTGCTCTAACTGCTTGGAAAGTCCAGCCACTTCCTGCTGTTGTTGCATGAGTTTCATTCTATGGTCCTTTGCAAGACTCTGCAAAGAAAATAAGTTCAGCGTTAGTCGCTATACTTCACGCTCATTTAAATGGTTATTTTCAGATAACCAAGAATAAGAAACACTCAGTATTCAACCAATAGTAATAAAAAACGACCTTAAGTTCTGTCCTTCCTAATACAAAGGGTCACTCTGAATGTAATGAAAGTACTGTCTTAGTGTTGTCGCCACCTTTTGCCTGAAAGTCTGGTTTTATTTTAATCTCTGTGTAGAGATCTTGCTAAATTAAATAAAGACATGGATTAGCTATAATACTGTAAATGTTAAATTCAAAACACACAACAGACATATCATCTAGCTATCAACTCAAATTACCAGTTCATCATAAGATTTAACCAATACACAGTTCTACTTTTTAGAGATTCTAACTCCAACTGCTACTAATATGCTAGGTGGTAGCTGAAACTTATCTTGTGTTTGGTATTAAAAAAAATCAAATTATTTGTCTTGAGAATTACTAGAGGAGCCAATAGATAAGTACTAATGTTAATGCATTCTCAAAAGTATCACATAAAGACAGAATAATGAGTTCTACGCCAACATGCAGCACCCACCCTCGCCGCCAGAATACAGACTTTCTCCACAGAAAATATATAGAGAACAGAAAGCAATCAAAAATGGAAGGCACTGTACTTGGGTTATTTAAAACAAACAAACACACATACACTTCATCCATACACATTCATCTATTAGTTTAGAGCAGTTATAAACATGGAACTAAATTCTCACTACCTGCCCTGGTCGGTTCTGTTTGGACAATGCACTGCCAAACTACCGAAGGTGATGCTAATAGCCAATGACTTTGCCACATCTACCTAAATTCTGACTCAGATAGAGATAATTTACCTAATTGCTGCATTGGATCTCTGCAAGCTACAGTGCACCTTTGGAGTGGAAAAGAACTTTTTGAAGACCGTTTAGAGGACTGGAAATTGAGAATAAGAAGCTATTAAAACTGGCTCCATTCACCTGCTGCACAGGGAAATTCTAGACCAGAGGAATGGGCACGAAGTCTTGAGGCATACTCAACAGCTACTATGAAATTTGCAAATCCAAGTTCAAAACTAACACTGATGGCCAAGTACAGTTTTGTAGAGTCTCATTCATCCTTGTTTTTGTTTTTTTTAAAGATGTATTTATTTATTATGTATACAATGTTCTGCCTGCATGTATGCCTGCAGGCCAGAAGAGGGCAGCAGACATCATTACGGATGGTTGTGAGCCACCATGTGGCTGCTGGGAATTGAACTCAAGACCACTGGAAGGGCATCCAGTGCTCTTAACCTCCAAGCCATCTCTCCAGCCCTCATCCTTATTTTTTAAACAATTTTTAAGTGAACAAAGCCAAGGCATTACTGTTACAGCGATGTGTGTAAAAAAAAACCTGAAATATCAAGTTTTGCTTAATGTGCCCATTTTTAAAACAACTACAGAACCTCAAAAACATAGTTACCATAATGACACTGATTCTGTCTATACAAAGCACTTTCTAACTATCCCCAAAAACAGCAGAATTATGAACAGCCGTATTTTCCTAGCAGGGACAGGACTTTCTGATAGGGATCTTATCAACTGGTCAACTATGAATTAAAGTTCAATTCTTTACATACTAGGACTCTTTCTGCTCTTGCTCTCAACTGCTCTGACTATAAACTCTTCTCGCGACAAACACTATACACACAGTAAGTTTCCATGCCACATACACTGTAGCCTTATCACTGCAGGTCAGACATGCACTTCTGCTGCTGCCACTGGTGGATTTAAGAAAGGTGGTGCACGCCTTTAGCCCCAGCACTTGGGCAGCAGAGGCAGGCAGATCCCTATGAATTTGAAGCCAATCTGGTCTACAAAGTGAGATCCTATCCTCCTGCCCCCCCCCAAAAAGACAAAATGATCAAGATAGCACGTTTTAATTTTTTTTAAACCTGTAATTATAAGTAACTATCCTGTCTTGAACATATACTCCCTAAATGCTGCTTTCAAAACTAAAACTATAAAATGCAGCTGGGTATGATGGCACAGGCCTGGAACCCAGTATCTAGGAGGCTGTGGCAGGAGGATTTGAGTTCAAGGATAGGCTGGGCTACAAAGGGCTTTAAAAAAAAAAAAAAAAGGACTATAGACTATACAACATTTTATTTATTTTTGTTGCTGCTTTGAGTCAGAGGTTCTCAGTATTGGGGCCTATCTAGCCTAGAACCCACAGAAATCTCACCTACCTCGATCTTCTGGATGCTGGAATTAATAGACATAAACCATTACACCTATTTTACCTAATTTCTCAGGTTAATTAAATGCCATGCACTATTAACAACGGGCTGTACTAAATATGTCTTTGGCTTTTATCACTGTTCAAGCATCACAAGAGTATACCTACATCAAAGCAGATGGCCACGAGGTAACATAGTATATAATCTTAAGAGATCACTATTTTAGCTTGCTATTGATAGGGACATCATTATGAGTTGCAAGACTATTTGAAAATGAAATTATCTCAAACAGTATCTTTCTAGAAAATTCTGCTTAACCCCATCATCCCCTTGGTGATACTATGGCGGTCACATCAGTAAATGTCTAAGATGACTGGTCAGCATTCACAGAGATCCCTAAGGAAGCTTTTTGCTTAGTGCTGTAGAGCAAAGTGGGGGTTAAGCCACTGTGGCACATGGCAGGCTGCAAGCAGCTGTGGAGGAAAGCACCCTGAGTCGGAGTCCCATAGCACTGCCCTGACTTACCTCAAGCTGGTGCAGCAAGGCTTTTCCTTTCTTGTTTATCTCCACCATCAACGTAAAGATGGCAACTTTAATATCCTGTTCCACCTGCTTTTGGTTTTGATTTACTTCAATTATTCTGAAAATGAATTGAAAAGGACAGAATATCTAAAATTAATGGCAGATTTTTAAAAATTATTCAAATTGGCTATTTTAATATCTAAATTAGACCAAAATGTTTACTCTTTCAAAGTTCTATCTCTATTTAATTTGTCTAGGAGAAAAGACATTAGAAACAATTCAGTTAAATAAAACTCGGTGAGTAAGTACATTCTAAAGAGCATGGTTTTAAAAAATATGTCACACAGCAAAAGCAATATACTGACCTAAAAAGACAGGGCCAGGGAATAAGCTACACCAAAAATTTATAGTCGAGATGAAACAAAATTATGACTAGGAACAAGTTCTGTTCTATAAGTGTGATAACTCTGATCTCAGCTGTCTGAAGTGGCAATTTTTCATCACAGCAGATGTAGAGACGCAAAAGTCAACAGTTAACAATTAGTTTACTTTTCTCAATGGTCCAGAAGTTAAAGTACTTTCTGCACAAGATCTCCAGAACCCACATAACTGAGGGTAGTGTGGAAACCCACCTGTAATTCCAGCCTAGGAAAGTGGGGACAGGATCCCCAGATTGAACTGGCTAGGAACACTAGACAAATCAGCCAGCTCTGGTTTAACTGAGAAACTCTGCCTCAACGAATAAAGTACAAGACAGAGGATGATCCCTGACATTAACCTCAGGCCTCCACACAAGTGTATACTCATGTACATGCTCACCAGCAAATATCGGTGCCCATGCACATGCAAACACACATATACAAACACATCCCCAATGGTGATGAAAATCTTGAAATCAATATTTAAGTAGCTGAGAAGGAAGAAAACGCGTTAACAAAGTTTAACATTAAAGTATGATTAGAAGAGATTTACTAATAAGTTTACTTAGGAAATGTTGGGGACACAAAGGTCCTTGAACCCACAGTTCACTAGGGAAACCAGGAATGTCAGTCATGCAGATGTATCTTCTCAAAGAAACAAACACATGTTTTCCACCCAAAAGGCGGGGTGTGGACATTGTTAATGACCCGGTGTTCTTTGCTCTCGTAGAGTGTTATCCCAGACATCCCTCCCTGGGTCTTATCTTCAGCTACCAGCTAATAGAACCCATCCTTATGGGAGATGTCACGTGTATTTCATAGCCTGCTGACCTCTACACTGTCAGTCAAGAGACCACTGCCTTTTAGCTACAGAACCTACCTGCAAGGTCACATGTATTCTGTACAGGTAAGCTTTAATGTGCACTGGGAAATAGAATCATTGTTGCCTGGAAACTTTCCCCAAATACCACTGTGTTTAAATATGCTGGCAATAAACTGCCTGGCCTCAGACTCCAGAGATCTGACCCAGCTTGATAAAGTCAGACTGAACTGAGTTTCCATCCTCACCTCTTCACAGTTTGTTTCCTCGCCTGCCGTGATTCCTGCAGGGACCCCTGAAGAAAATATTAAACTACACAGAAAGAAATGAAGCTGAGAGGCTAAGACTTGGCGTTATTCAATGACTTTAAGATAGATAGCTTACAACTGCTTTCTCCTAGACAATACAGGAAAGAAAACAATTATACTTCTGACTTAATTAGAACTTAAGTTTGCTGAAGCTGTGCTTTTATTTAAAAAGAAAAAAATCACTAGAACTGCTAGCTCTTTAAGAGTCCCAGCCTCCTAGAAGAGGCAAACTTGAATATGACCTTGTCTAAGAGACTAGAGCTGAGTTTCTTTACCTCCGTGCCTCACTCAAACCACACAGAGTAGACAGCACTAGCTAAGCGGCCCTTTTCTCTGGGTGCCTAGGTGAATCCTTAGCTGGCTTGAACTACTTTATGTTTTATGAAACAATTACTTTTATTATTATTTAGAGAAAAAAAGCAGAAGAAATGGACAGAAAGATAAAATATCACCACACGATACTGCACTGTAACAGTTCTCAGGAGACATTTGGTGCCTACACGGGCACACAGGTCCACACGACTACACAAACCTTTAGTTTTCCTGCCTGCTCCTCCCACAGACACTCTAAAATTTAAGATCACAGTTGCAGAGATTGTACTGTTGTAAACATTCAAGATAAGTGCTTGGGATAAATACTGCTTCAGAATTAAGGAAATCGGGTACATGTACAAAGCATCAAAACTCACTCAAATCGTCACTAGTTCAACAGGATAAATAAGGAAAACATTGCCATATTTTAAAACAAATTAATACCAAAGTTAGCATAATTTTCACCCTTCTTCAATTGGGCAGACTGGGAAAAAAAAAAAAAAAAGAAGAAGAAGAAAAGATATAAGCAGACTAGAGATCTGCTTTGGTGAAAATGCCTCACAGGCAAGAGACTTTGGGCTCCATCCCTAGAAAGATGGAGAAGGAAGTTCCAACAAAGGGGGAAAGGGCAATTAGCACCAACCTAAAGATTCTTTAGTATCACAATTCAGAAACCAAAGCCTCCTCCACAGTAATGCTACAATTTTATTTAAGGAAGAAAACAGTGATACTTGTAAGCCGAGTGGCCTTGAGAAGAATGAAACTCAAGAGTTGGCTACAAAGCAAGTTCAAAGCTAGCCCAAGCTACATGTGGTATTGCCTCAAAACCAAACGAACACCCAAAATGAAAACGCACATATTAAAGAGACCCTGACCGGCTGGGACACGGCAAATCCAACCATGGCAAGGCCTTGTCCTTCTCCCATTCTCTGCCTCCCTCAAGTCAGTCACTGAGGTCTACTCCCTCCCCCTGAGGCTAACTACCAAGGTCCAGCTATCAAAGTATTCAAGTCCAGGAATCGAAGCCCCCTTTGGCTCACCTAGTTATCATGCCCAATTAAAATTAAACACTCAGCCTAACACAGGGTTCCCCTTTTATCTTTATAAACTGCCATTTGCCTATGTGCCACATCTGTCTCCTACCTACCCAGAGGCCGTCCTTGGTCCTTCCAGGGCCAATATCCCTTGCCCCTCTCCCTTGTCCTCTCATCCCCAGCCCCCTATCCTTCTGGAACACATAATTCTCCTTCAACAGAGAACGTGGTTTTAGGGTGTCTTGTGCTGATTCTATGCCTTTCATTGTGGATCTCTGTGAATTCAAGGGCAGCCTGGTATACATAATGAGTTCCAGGACAGCTAGGACCCTACAGGTCCTCTGTCTTCAAACAAAATAAGCAAACAAATCACACAAAACTTTGTTTCAAAAACAAAACTAAACAAAATCCCAAATTCTCCATCCCATTCTGCTTCATAAAACAGTAAGAATGATAGAATATGATGACTAGTTTTAAGCAAATAAACCACAAAGGTGGACATAATTTTGCTCATGAACAATATTGAGATGCACACAGAAGTCTCTCTTATTCAAGGTCTTGCCACTCAGCGCTTCTCCTGTAGACAGTTGCAAATCGCTTTTGTGCATAAAACAAAAGAAAGAGGGCCTGGTATTGCTTGGCATGCTAAGGTGAAGTGTGAGCATCAGCGGTACCGTATATGAATGTCAGCATGGGACAGCTGATTTCCTACATGGAGCAGAAAAGGCTTATTAAGTACATCTAGGAAGAGACAGGATAAAGTGTCATGTAATAGCTTTCTGCAGAGTGAAACATTCCATCCTACGGGATGCTCCTTAAGCAGGAAGGCAAACAACTTCAGGAAGTCCCTGAAACTGTCCAAGCTCACTAAGAGTCTCCCTGCCAGGGTCAGCCATGAAAGCTGAGCTTTTCATCAGACAATGGAGCTGACTGCAAATACACCAGAGCAGCTGACTGAAGATGCAGAGCATGCCTAGCTGCCTCTAAGAGGGTTAGACCAACTCAAGTAACTGGCAAGGACACCCTGTTCTCAGCTCTGTGACTACCACTCACATCATCACATCAGTGTGTGCCTTGGTGATGCAGCCGCCTTTGATTCAGCTTTACCCCCCCCCCCCCATATTCCTGTAACTAGCCCTAAGTCTCACTGGTTCACTAAACTGGACTTTTATGGCTCTTGTTCCTCCAACTCCTGCCCTCCAAATTCATGACATTTTATTATTGTTACATATGCATATAAATTTATACACTGTGTGGTGTGTGAAAAGTTTAGTAATACCCAGTTGCAATGTGCACTTGAACTTCCATCCTGTATGACTAAAGGATCAGGGCCCAGGGAGGCAACTCAAATATTAGCAAACATGAAAACAGCAATTAAGTATATAATCAAGTATTAAAATAGTTACGTTATTGGCAAGGCTAGCCTTTTCTCAATCTTGAAAAAAAAATTAAAATTATTAGACGTATAGGCCAAATAAGCTTATTATTTATTATACATTTTCATTTTATTAGTAAAGAAACTGCTTTCTAATCAAGTTTCTAAAAAAGCCTTACCAACCATAACTACAGTGAGTTAAGAATAAAAAAATCTAGAAATGCATTCATTTACTATACATAAATGATTTATTTACAGTGTCATAAATATAAACTTACCTGTTTTGGATCTGATTTCCTGTATACTTAATGTATTTTGTTTTTTCCATCAGTTTGGTGATTAGTGTATCTATGATCACTTTTTGATTTTGAAAAGCTTCTTCTATAAACTGGTATCTGAAGAAATAATAAGCAAATAGCTTCATACAAATATCTATACAAAAGTTCAAAAGTTTAAAAAACAAAATCTAGTATAAGGAGAGGATGTGGGGCTAGAGAAATGACTCTGGCAAGAGAACTTCTAGAGGCAGCACACAACCACCCAGAACCGCAATCCCTGAGGACCATCCTCTCTGTGGATACCTGACCCCCCCACAACACACACACGCACACGCGCGCGCACACACACACACACACACGCACACACACACACACGCACACACACACACGCACACACACACACACACACACGCACACACGAACAAATGAGTCCAAAGGAGGAAAGATAGTACAAAGGGCATAAACAAAACAAAGCCCTTGAAAACAGCCAACACCAGCTGGCAAGATGGCCCCAGTGAGTACAGATGCTCACTGCCAAGTCTGCTTTTGACTCCTAGAACCCCTATGGCAGGAGGAGAGTTCCCACAAGCTGTCACCAGCCTTCCACACGCAAACATGGTATGCATGTATGCAAACACATAAGTCTAATAAAAGAGGCAGGTTTTCCCATCTGCTCAAATTATTATTCCAGAAAGGAATTCTTTAGATAATCTTTATTTCAAGAGTATAGTTGTAAACACCCAACATTTATAGTTTTAGAGGATTACACAGCATATCTGACAGATGTAGCAAAAAGCAGTCAAAAATTTGTTAACTATGAAAGTTTGCTGAGATGAAACACTTTTACCCGGTGGGGTGGTGCAATTAATCCCAGCACTTGGGAGGTAGAGGCAGAAGATCTTTATGGGTTTCAGGACAGCCTGGTCTACAAAGTTGAGTTCCAAGACAGCCAGCACAGAGAAACTCAGTCGCAAAAACAAACAAAAACAAAACAAAAAACAAAAAAACCATTTCAAGATCATTTCTAAAACAGCGAGCAGCTTTGCTGTACAAGCCACAGCATTACTTTTCTGGGATAAATGGGGGCAGGCACTGATGAAGTCTTGAGTGGCCTATAACATGACATAGCATTTGGCAGTCATTACTAACCTGGAAGTCAAGATGTCTGCAAACAGGCAGATTGAGTGTACATTACAGAAAGAACTTTAGCAAGATGGTGTAGTAGGGGGAAGCTGATCATTATCCGTAAGCCAGAAAACCCAAGTCTCACACTGAGCCCACGTGATGGAGGAAGAGTGAACTCTTGCAAGCTGCCCTCTAACTTCACCGGCATAAACAATGGAGCCTTTGAAGTGCTGGGTACTCAGGAGGCTGCAGTAATCCTGACCTAGTCACTGCTACACAGTGAGACCCTTTCTCAAATAGAGAAAACTAGTAAGTTTAAAGTATAGAAATAACTGCAAGCCTAGAATTCGGCCCAAGGAACCCATTCTTATGTGCTTTAAACCCAGCTCTAGGGAGGCAGGCAAGAGGATCTCTCTGAGTTCCAGGACAGCCAGGGCTACAGAATAAAGACTCTGTCTCAAAAACAACAACAACAAAAAACAAAAACAAACAAACAAACAAACAAAAAAGCCAAAAACAAAAACAAAAACAAAAAACCAAGAAAGGTAAAAATATTTCAGACAATCTGGGGGCCCTGTTTCTGGTACAGCCTCAGTAAAGGACCCTTAAGTAAATAAAATGCAGAAAGAGATCCATGAAGGAATAAAGAATAATTAAAGTCACGGGTAGGAGCAAAGTTAAATGAATATTGGCTTAGGCAATAAAAGGCCTGGGTATAATACATGCATATATACCACATATGGTAAAGTAAGGGACATATTAGGAGACAGAGGCTGTATTCTCATAAGGTTCGTTCGTATCCAGTCCAGGAAGAAGGACAAAGTAACATCAGATAAGACTAACTCCAAGAGGAGTCCGGGCCAGTGAGATGGTTCAGCAGGTAAAAGCACTTGCTGTGCAAGCCTCACAACTCGAGTTGGATCCGCAGAAGCCAGGTGAAAGGAGGGAACTGACATCCACACACTGTGGCACATGTTAGCCTACACCAACACACACACACACACACTCACATACACCACACACTCACACGTATACACACTCAAACCACACACATACTCACACATCACTACACACACTCACATATCACTACACACTCACACGTATACACTCACACAACACACACTCACATACACCACACACTCACACGTATATACACTAACACACACACACTCACATACACCACACACTCACACGTATACACACTCAAACCACACACATACTCACACATCACTACACACGCTCACATATCACTACACACATACACACATACACACACAACACACACATACTCACACATATACACTCACACACATACACACACCACACAGACACACGCATATACACACTCACACATACACACTCATACACGTAAAATCACACACACACACACACACACACACACACCACACAAAGACATACTTAATTTTTAAAAAGCAAGCCGTGGTGACACACATCCAAGGAAGATGTCTGAGTTCTAGATCAGACAGGGCTATACAGTAAGATTCCACATACATATAAGTAATAACAATAAAATCATTAAACAACCAAAACAAAAACAAAAGTGCCCCAAAGCAAAGCTTTCTCATTTGTGACACTAGCAACCAATACCTTGTTATTTATTTTGCAAACAGCATGGTAAGCCAATGACTCTCAATGTAGACTTGACTTTGGCCTATAGGACATTTGGCAGTGTCTTGGGGATACTTTAAAATTATTTTTGAGCTTTCATTTATGGAGGCAGAGACATATCGGGGTACAACTAATGTGAGAGCCAACATTACATTTTCATTTTAAGTTTTAATTACTATGCCTAAGAAATCCATGAAGCAAAAATACCTCTTGATCTGTAAGCCCCTTGCCTGAGGAAGCAAAAATACCTCTTGATCTGCAAGCCCCTTGCCTGAGGACAGATAATTCCTGAAATGCTGGAGGCTATTGTTTATGGATGTGCTTGATCACACGTGGGCAGGATGTCCATAGGCAGTTAGATGTATGCTTGCCTCTGATTAGACCTGATGGGAATACTTAAGCCACTGTAAACTGAATTGGGGCCATTTCCCAGGAATCTGGGTATAGACCTGGCCGGAGCCCATCCCCTGGCCAGTATTTAATTAAATCTTGCTTCAAATTTGGCTTTGAACTATAGCAGAGGTCTCATTCTTGACTGGTGGGATTAACACTAGCACCTAAGTGTTACGCGTTCAGAATGCAGCTAACCACCACACAATGCATGGCATGCAATGACTGGACCAAAACAGAAAGAAAACCAGAATCAAGAAACCCCTGTGCAAGGCAGCTTGCCACTGGCCAAACAATACACATACAAACTGCCATTCAGCTGGAGCAACAATAGTCTATAAGCAACGTAAAAAGTGTAACAAAAGATGCTGGTACCTATGCTCTTTGTGCTCTAGCAGCTGGCAGTCCCGACATGTCAGTTTGTCACACGTTTCACAGTAAAGTTTCAACTGCTCCTTCTTATGGAATGGACAGAACACGGGTCGCTGACTGGTCACTCCAACTGCCTCTGCAAAAACAACAGACAGCAACTGAATGGGAAATCAGTCCATGGTCCATTTTCACTCAATCCCACGGACACAAAACATCTACAGTTCTTTCATCCTGTGTAGTTAACCACCACTGCATAACAGATCATGATCTCAAGGCTGGTGACTAAAGGTATCTGCCTCCAAGCCCGATGAACTGAGTTCCATCCCCGGAACCCAGGAGTTGGAAGAGAGGCACCCACAAGGTGCCTACACACATACTCACATGTAATAAACTGTAAAAAGTAAAGAAGCTTCACAAAACCCTTTTCAAGAATCACTTAAGGAAAACGGATAGGACTTTTCACTTCAAGGAGTAATTTAAATGTTAGATATGTAATGAAAAATGTGGCTTATAGAATTACAAAGTCTTAAGATAGTCCCTTTGAGTGTAAACTAACTAAATGTGTTCTATCCTAACTATAAGGCAGGAGGATCACAATGTGTGGACTTGCTGCTCTTGCAGAGGACCTGGGTTCCATCCCAGCGGACACAGGGAAACACATGGAAGCTCCACAGATACCAGTCACTAAAGTTGTGATGCACAGACACACGCAGGCAAAACACCCATAATTAAATAGTTTTACTGAAAAGTGGTGTACTGGCCTGGGCGGGTTCTATAAACTGGCTCTCATCAATAGGACCATAGTTGAGTATGCATCTCTGCTATATACTGACATATTTCTTCTTCATAGGATAGCTGTGTTTTTCATTTGTGAGCTCCCCTCACCACCACCCCCCCACAGTACTGGGAATTAAACCTAGAGCTTTATATAAGCTAAGCAAATATCTTACCACTGAGCTACACCCACCAGCTATTTTTAGTTTTGTGAGAAGACTGCACGAAATTTATATTTTCATCAACGCTATAAGGTCTCTTTTCTCTCTGCATCCTTGTAAATTTTATTATTATTATTATTGTTAATATTATTATTATAGCCATTTTGACTTTGGTGAGATAAATATGAATGTAGTTTAATTTGCATATTCCTGATGGCTGCTTAGACAACTGAACATTTCCTTATACAGTTATTATCTACATTTCTTTTATTGACTGGACTATTTCAGGGATATATTTGAATGTCTAATTATTTTACTTCATATATTCTAAACTTTTTATGTGTGCTCATGTAGAGAGCTGCGAAGTGCTGTGCCTTAAATATGGCGCTGGCTTCTGCCTTCCACCTTCCCGATGGTGAGAGCTCTCTGTCATAAACAAGTCCTTATTTGGCTAAGCCTGTTCAGCTTGCTTGCTTCCGTGTAAGAGCAGCCTATCTGCAGGGTCCATGTGGCTCACTAGGGTTGGTCAGCACAAGAGGATTTAAGCCTGTGTGGGCGTTTCCCCAGAGTTAGAAGAAGTTTGTTCAAGGATCCTGATTAAACTGCTAGAAGAAGATCTCCCCTGAGTTGCGTCTTCCTTGCTGGTTGAGGTTGGGCGCAACAACTGGTGGCCCATACAGGGAACACATTTCCCCTTCAGATCAGAACTTCTTGCAGTCAGGGCAGTGCTGGTAAGTTCCCAAGGTAAGGTGGGACCATAAAGACAGCGGAAATAAGCGGCAATAAAGTCTCAGGCATTGAGCGAGAGGTTGTTACGAACCGAAAGTAAAATCTTTTAAAATGGGTACATCTCAGTCTCATCCAATTTTTCTGGCTCTTCAGGAGCTATTTTTGTCAAAGAAACTTAAAGAAAAGCACATTAGAAAGGTTCCTGGGCAAATGCGATGCCATTGCACCTTGGTTTGCAGTTTCGGGAGACCTTATGGTAGCGTGCAGGGATCTTGACTTCGCTTGGGAACAAGGGACGCTAAAGCCCGGAGTCAGGCCCGTTTGGAAGGTAGTGCGTAGCTGCATCGAGGACCAAAAATACTGTAAGAGAGGTGGTGTTAAAGGGGCAAGCTGAGCTAGAAAAGCTACAAGAAGAAAGATCAGAAGAGGTTAAGAGCACAGGGGAGTCTGATACAGACAGAACTGACTCTGAGGAGGAATTGCAGTCCCTCGTAGAAAAGATTCAGAAACAATCACTTAAAGAACGGAGAGGGGGAGAAAAGGAGAAATGGCAATTTAAGGAGGAGGAGGATCCCCCTATAATAAGGCCACTGGCCTCCTTATCAGAATGAGGAAGGGCGGGGCCCAGGGATAGGGCCTTCCTTTTGCCCTGAGGTCTGGAGAGCTGTGCGAACTGACTTTGGTCTAGCCTTTCCAGTTTTCCAGGATGCCCAAGGCAATAGATCTGAGGGAGCCTTTAGATTTCAGGGTCATTAAGGCTTTGGCTGTGTCTGAGAGAACATATGGGATTTCAGCTTCTTTTACTGTAGCCCAAGTTGAAGCCCTGAATAGACACTGCATGACTCCTAGTTGTAGCCCCTGAAAAGGTTCAAAAGGGTAAGATTGTTAATTCTTTAGGAGCCAAAGTTTATGAAAGACAAATTGTTCCTCAAAAGACTGAGTTGAGAAAGGATAATTTAAAAACGTTAAATGATTTTCAGAAGTTATTAGGAGATGTTAATTGGATTAGGAGTTATTTAAAGTTGCCAAATTATAAATTAAAGCCATTATGTAATATATTAGTAGGGGATCCGGCTCTTGATTCTCCTAGGCAATTGACTGTTGAAGTGAGAGAAGCCTTATGTGAAGTTGAGGAAAGACTACAAAATGCATTTCTATCTAGATGGAAGGAAGGTCAAGCTATCACGTTATGCATTCTCCCTACCCATAATCAGCCTACAGGGTTGTCATGGCAGGAAGGACCATTGCTTTGGATTTATCCCCAAATCTCCCCAGCGAAAGCAATAGAACATTATCCCACAGCAGTCGCTAGTTTGGCTCATAGTGGAATTCAACAAAGCATTCAATTTTTTGGAGTGCCCCTGGTGCTACTTGTGGTGCCTTATTATAGTCACCGGGTTAAGATCTTGTGTGGCACTATCGATAATTGGGCCATATTGCAATGTGGGTTTGATGTAATGATAGATAATCATTATCCAAAGCATCGTTTCATATCATTTTTTAAGGAACATCCTGTGATTTTTTTTCCAAAAGTAACTTCCTCAGTCCCACTTAGTGGGGCACCAAATGTTTTTACTGATGGTTCAAAAACTGGTTGTGGGGCATATATGATTGCAAATAAGCCTCCTGTGCTGTGTCAATTTCAGCCAGGTTCCCCTCAAATTGTGGAATTGAAAATTGTAGTCCAAGTATTCAAAATTTGTCCATTTGCATTTAATTTGGTCTCAGATTCAGCATATGTGGTGAATACAGTAAAAATTTTGGAATTAGCAGGCCCTATTAAAATTAGTAGTGTTGTTTGTTCATTCTTACAAGATTTACAAAGATTAATTTGGTTGAGAAAGGAACGCTTTTATATTCAACATATTAGAGCTCATACGGGTTTGCCTGGGCCCAATGACATTGTAGACCAATGGACAAGGGTAGAATGTATTTTTTACAGCTCATATTTAGATCAGGCTAGGCAATTCCATCAGCAATTTCATGTGAATGCAAGGACTCTTCAACAGAAATTCCATTTGTCCAGAGCAGATGCTCGACAGGTGGTGTTGAACTATCCACAGTGTATAATATACCAACACCCACTTGGTGTGGGGGTAAGCCCTAGGGAGTTAATGCCCCTAAAGATATGGCAGATGGATGTCATGCATATTTCAGAATTCGGAGCTTTGAAATATGTACACGTGTCTGTGGATACTTGTTCAGGTGTGCTACGCCTTTAAGCGGAGAAAAAGCCCACAATGTCATTGGACACTGCCTGGAAGCCTGGGCGACTTGGGGAAAACCTCAACAGCTAAAAACTGATAATGGGCCAGTCTATACGGCTCAGAGATTTACTTCCTTTTGCAAACAAATGGAAGTTCAGCTTGTTCATGGATTACTCTACAATCCTCAAGGACAAGGGATTGTAGAGCGAGCTCATCGCAGCCTAAAAGAATGCCTAATAAAACGAAAAGGGGGAGTAGGCCAAGGCTGAACTCACAAGGAAAGAATATCTTTAGCCCTTTTTACCCTCTATTTTTAAATTTTGGATGTTGATGGCCTTTCCGCCACTGAGCCACTGATCGTCATCAGCGGCAAGGAGGGAGCCTAAAAGGCTATGTGAAATGGAAAGATGTGATCACCAGGTTATGGCATGGTTCTGATCTGGTGTTGGCATGGGTGAGAGGGTCTGTTTGTGTTTTCCCCCAGGATCACCAAGAACCGTTGTGGGTCCCGGAGAGGTTTGTAAGAAAGTGCAACAAACATGAAGAGCCTGCTGTTGCTGTTGATCATCAGCCTGATTTGGCCACCAGTGCAGATGGAGCCACGATGGGGGACCCTGTCGGTGTTCCCAAGACCCATGCCGATACGCTATAATGCAAAAATGTTTCCCCGATTTTTTAGTACTAATAAGAGCTTAGATTTACCTTATGATAGTGAGATTGCTAGGAGTTTTGTTTTAACAGGAAGCCTATGCTTTTAAGTGATATTAGTGATAAGAGTCAGTGCATTATGTTATTTAATCAATCTGCAGCTTGGTTTGATGTACCCATCACGGGCGGCCCCATTAGGGAGTTAACGCCTCCTGCCTAAGTGGGTGGTGGCCTGCTAAGAGTGAGTTTGACAAGCCAGCACCCCATCAGCCTAAGTGGGCCCCTCATTGTTTGAGTAAACGAGGAGGTGGTTTCCTTCTCCGGACGGGATGTCAATCAAAAGAGGTTGTTTGGGCGAGCAAGGGATATTTTATCTTCTTGCCAGGAATTAGTACCAGCTTCAATAAAACCTTTGCTGGGAGAAACTTTATTGATCAGGATCTGCAGCAGGTGGATATTTCCAACCCTTTTGATCTCTGGCTCTTCTGCGGCATTAATGGCAGCTGCACAGATTTGTCCCCTTTCCTTATGATAAGGGGCGGAGTTCATGGGGTGGCCGAATTTGCTTGGTCCACCTCTGAGCGTTTTGGTGAATTGTTCAATCCTAATCCCCCTCAACCTAGCGGCCAAGTAAGCACCAATCCTTCCTCGAGAAGGGTAGGGTCATTGAATATTAATGCTACCTTTTCTTCTACCCCAGTATGTGTGTGGCCACCTTTTGTGTTTATTGTAAGTAATAGTAGTATATTGGATAGTGAAAAGTTAGTCTGTGATACTATGACCTGCTTTTTTGCCCAATGCTGGGATGCTGTGAATTTCCCCTTTGCTGTGGTTGCACGCTTGCCTAGATGGATTCCCGTGCCTGTTGACGCCCCGAGTGCTATGACGGTGTGTAGACGACAGAGAGATTTGGCATTATAGCAGCCATAGTTGCAGCTACCTCTTTTGCAGTTGTGGGTTCAGTCACGGCTGCTGTGGCCATGAGCACATCGGTACAGACAGCCTCTAAGTTAAATGAACTGTTCAAGAATGTGGATACCGCCTTGGAAGCTCAGTCCACAATTGGTGCTCAGTTAAAAGGAGGTCTTACGATGGTGAACCAAAGAATTGATCTGGTGCAGGAGCAAATAGATACCTTGTGGCAGCTGGCCCAATTGGGATGTGAAATGAGAGAAACAGGCTTGTGTGTTACCAGCATTCAGTATGAGAATTTTACACATGCTGCTAATTTGTCATGACAATTGTCTAACCATCTCTTAGGAAATTGGTCTGCTGACTTCCATGACTTAATGGTACAGCTGCGAGTGGCCATCGTCGCTGTGAACTCGGATGGACGTGTGGATGTGGGACTGGCTGCTGGGCTGTCATCATGGCTTGCTGTTGCCATGGATCATCTGAAAGAGTGGGAGGGAATGGGAGCCATGGCTATCCTCTTGCTGCTTATCTCCTTCGGTCTGTGGTGGCTTTGCAGGCTGAGGCTTGCTCAGAGGCGGCATGCAGCTATGGTTGTCCAGGCATTTACAGCCATTGAGGCAGGGCAGTCCCCCCAGGCATGGCTCGCAGTCATGAATAAGAATTGATTCTTCACTCTCAGGTTGTATGGCTTAGCACTGCACTCCGAGTTGGCTCTGGAAGCGAGCAACTCCTCCGAGAAGGGCAAGTCTGGTTGCATGTGGGTTGGAGTCTGAGGCCCCACCTCCAGGAAAAAGATACCGGACGGGTGTGGCACTGACTTGGCTGACTACCGGGATTCAGGGTCATTACAAAGTCCCCTACGTTACTGGAGAACAGACTACTACCCTTGCCTGTTGCGTTAATAAAACAAAAAGGGGGAACTGAAGAGAGCTGCAAAGTGCCGCGCCTTAAAGATGGTGCTGGCTTCCGCCTTCCACCTTCCCGATGGTGAACGCTCTCTGTCATAAACAAGTCCTTATTTGGCTAAGCCTGTTCAGCTTGCTTGCTTCTGTATAAGAGCAGTCTATCTGCAGGGTCCATGTGGCTCACTAGGGTTGGTCAGCGCAAGGGGATTTAAGCTTGTGCAGGCGTTTCCCCGGAGTTAGAAGAAGCTTGTTCAAGGATCCTGAATAAACTGCTAGAAGATCTCCCGAGTTGCGTCTTCCTTGCTGGTCGAGGTTGGGCGCGACATGCTCATGTATGTTTGGGTGTACATGTGTAGTGCATGTGCACACATGTGAACATGTGTATACAGAGACACATAAACCTCAGGTGTCATTCCTATGGAGCCACCTAACCGTTTTTGAAATGGAGTTTCTCATTAGGACCTACAGCTGTTTAATAAGCCAGGCTGCCAGGCCAATAAGCATCAGCATGTGTCTATGTTCTCCATTCCCAGATTTTCACCAGATTATAAAAAGGAGTCATCATGCTAGGCTTTTTAAATGTGGGTGTTAGTGACTGAACTCAGTTCCTTGTCCAGCAAGTGCTTTACTAACTGAGCCATCTCAGTTCCTGTTTGCAGTCTAGGTCTTAATCTTCTGTCAGATTAAGAGCTACAGCCTTTTTACTTTTGTATTTACTTAGAAACCTTTTAGTTTCATAAAATCCTAGTTGTCAATTCTTGTTATGTCTTGGCCTATTTGGCCTCTTTAAGAAGCTGGAAAGATGACTCAGCAATCAAGAGCACTGGCTGCTCTTCCAGAGGACCCAGCACCCACATCAGCGGGCTCAAAGCTGCCTGACTTTAGTTCCAGTTCAGACATCATCTTCTGACCTCCACAGGTACTACAAGAGTGTGGTGCGTGCGTGCGCCGCACATACGTATTCACAATAACCTAATCTTGCTTTTTTTTTAAAATTTAATTAGGATGGGTTTATTAGTTTTCCCATGCTAATCTAAATTTATTAAATTTAAATAATAGAGATATCTAAAATATTTATATGATTTTAAATTCTCAGAAAAACCTTAGAAGTAGCCAGAAAGGAAATTGAGTTAATAGAGTTATATTATCTATCCATGAGTTAATGAAGAGCTGATAATAAAAATCACTAAACCCTAAGAACTGGGAGTGCTCCCTTCTTTCTTTTAAAGGGTTCTTGCTGGCAGTGTCTGACTGGCACATCTGAGCCCTGTGTTCAATCCCTGTCACTTCACAAGCAGGGCATGCTGTCTCAGGCCAGCAACCCAGCACACAGAGGAAAAGGCCGGAGGAAGGGGGCGGCGGGGGGCGGGCACAAGCTCCAGCCATGCTTCGCTACCATCAATTCCCGGGTTCAAACTAATCACACTGGACAGCAATTTACATTCAATATTACATCACAGGCATTCATAGAACTAACCACCCAAGCAGAAAACAAAACAAAATCCAAAACTCTGCAAGTGCAGAATATTTTTAAAGTAAACTAAAACAATGATAAACTGTAACTAAACACTTATCCTAAAACATGTCACATACGTAGCTCACCTGTCCTAGTAATAATTTTCTTGGGGGGGGCACACAGGTGTCTATCTATTATGTAGCTTTGGCTGTCCTGGAACTTGCTATGTGGATTAGGCTGCCTCTGCCTCCTGAATGCTGGGATTGAAGGTGTGCATCACCACACCCATTTCTAATAATAGAAATTTAAAATAAAATTAAGGGAATTGAAAAGAAATGCAAGATTAATGAACTAAAGGGTATAAATAACTGGATAAATATATTCAAAGAGCTATTTATTTATCTATAAATAAAATTAAGACAAAATCTACCAAGTAAGTTAAAAGAAATGGTTTAAAAAAATAAAACTCACAATGCAAAAAGAAAAATAATCATAGAAAAACTTGGTAGTTGTTACGGTTCAGAGGTGAGATATTCCCTCAACCCCCCCCCCCCCCGCGCCCCCCCAAAAGCTCTGTTTTGAAGGGCTGGTCACTGAAAGGACTGGATTAGGGAAGGCTGTAACCGTGACACCGACTGACCCACTCAATTTCTTCCTCCCAAGTGCTGGGATACCAGGCACAGGCTACCAAACCTTCCTCCAATTACTGTGTAAGGTAAGCCGAGGCCCTTGCTTTATTTCAAGTACTCATCACTAACCACCCAGTACAATTTTTGTTGCTCAAAATAACTGTCTTTAATTATCAAGTCAACAATCCCACTCTAATCACTCTTACTTTCTAACCTTCTTAGTTTACTATCCTGACTATGTTACCAATCCCTCATCAGTTACAGCCCATAGTCACCTATTAACCAAAAGTTGTTCCTCTTTTATCCAGTTAAAACCCTGACCATTTCAACATGCCCCCATATGAATCTTGTATGCCATTACATTTCTAACCCAATCCTATACATGTCCAATCTTCTATACCAACACCCAGACTGCCAAAACCCGAATGAGGAAGATTTATGGCACAAACATCATTCAACTCTTTAGTTTCTATAACTAGAGCTCTTTCAACGAGTTATTTGGCCTCCGATTTAAATCCTAGAATCTGAGGTTGAGACTCTTGGTAAATATTCTAACAGAGTTTAGTAGGCCCAACTATGGTTATTTATTTACTTACATTCTTTATTATATATATATTCCTACAGTACAGGAGGCATCTGTCTTTCTAATAAATAGCAAAATTTAAAATATAAAGGAGGCACACACAATGGTTGGCTTAAAAAAAAAGTAGGAAAACAAATCGAAAGCAAAAGAACAATAATATGTCTGACCTCTTAAAGCATTATGTTAAATGGATCTAGAGAGCTGGTTCATTGGGTATATTAGAACCTTATTCCATTTTCTGTTATTTCTGTCAGGACAAGTTCATTTTTGTTTGCTGGAAAATTCCAGTGGACCATGCTTTAACCCTGTTTCTGTAATTTGACATGCTTCCCATCCTATGGAGTTCGACCCTTACCTTAAACATTTTCTTCTGAAAATCCCCCAACACTTGAAACCCCCAGTCTTGCAGTTTCTTGAGCTATACGATCCTGAGTTCAGGGATACTTTCTTAAACACCACTTTAGAAAAATAGCCCTGTCTGCCAGAAAATAAAGTTTGCATAATTTGACCAAAGAATTTGGATAATGGTCTTCATTCTCATTCAGTGGGATTAACAAAAGCAAAGGGTTTTGTTTAGTTTTGTTTCTTTTCTTTTCTTTTCTTTCTTTCTTCCTTCCTTTCTTTTTTTTTTTTTTTTTATCATAGCAAATTTAATTGACAGAAGCAGGAGAGCTAGGAATGTGAATTAAGGCAAGATTCAATATATGACTCATACTTACCAGCACCTCTAAGTACAATTAGAATGTTTACTTCTTTGTATCAAAAACATACATGTAATGTTTATAGCCACACTAAAATACATCAGTGTAGGAACCGTAAGAGCAGGGTTTCAGAGAGGGGAAAAGAGAAGGGTAGCAACCCGATTCATTACCTGGAGACACTTCTTCTTTCTGCCTGACTGTGTGGTCTTTTGTGAACTTCACCCTCTGGTGAGCTCTAATACATGTTTTGCAGAGCCATTCGACACACTCCACACAAAACCCATTGGCTTCTGCATTGTCTTCACAGCTTGTGCATACCTAACAATAAAAGACTCTGGTCACATGAACTGCTGAAATACATTAAAAAAATAAAATGCCAACCAAACAGACTTTTAGTTTTCCTACATCATTCAGTGTTTAAATTGATAGTATGTATTAAGCTATATGCATTTAAAATGAAGATATGATGCATAAGAATTGTCTTTTTAGATAAGGTATCACTATGTATCCCTGGCTAGCCTTCTACTCATAACACGACACCCACTGTCTGCCTCCTGAGAACTAGGATTAAAGGTGTACAATACCAGACTAGACAAAATTATTGAAACACATTTTTCTCCTTAGTTTTATTACTGATATTCTAGTCACTCCAGGCACCAGGCAAATTGTAGACAACACTGGGTTCAGCTCCTGGCATGCAAGGGCAGCTCACCACTACCTATGACCCCAGTTACAGTGAATCCAATGCAGTCTTCTGGCCTCTGAGAGCACCAGGCATATACGTGTAGGCAAAACACTCTTACAAATAAAGTCAAAATATTTTTTAAGAAATAATTTTAAGGCTGGGCAACAGATTTCTTTGAGTTTGAGGCCAGCTTGGTCTACAGAATTAGTTCCAGGACAGGTTCCAAAGCTACAAAGAAATCCTGTCTCAAAAAACAAAAAGTGCCAATAACGGGAAATGTATCAAAAATTGTCAGTGCTTATGGAGACAAAGGATTTATCTTGTTGAAGACTTTGTAAGAGCAAGCTACAGAATCTCGTCGATGGAACACCTTCCAGTCAGAGAGCAGCACAGATAAGCCCGCAAGAGGAGCACAGCTGGATCAAGAATGGAGAGGAAGGAAGTAGTACTTCACACGTCAAGGGAAGACTGACAAGAGAAGGCGCTGGTGGCAAGGCAGGCAGGGGTCAGGTCAAGTTAGCACACATGACAATGGCAGTTTTTGTCAGAAAAATGATTAAATAACAAAGGCATGGATAGACTTCTACTTTTAAAGTCAGCATTACTGCAACTCAACAAACAGACAGAAAAGTGCCTAACATTCTCACATAAGGTAATTTGTTCTCACATAAGGTAATTTGTTCGAGGGTTAGCAGAAGTGAAGACGAGAACGGAATGGAAGATTCAAGAAGTGAGCAAGTTTGGAGAGTGCACTGCATATGGGAGGTAAAAAAGAGTATCTAGAATATGTGTCTAGCTGGTATGATGGTGTAAATAGTGGCAACACTCTCCAAGCATCTTTGTAGCTGGAAACAAAAATGCACATAATTCAGAAGCTGCCTGTAACGAGTACGGTTTTTCTGCCTGGTATTGTCCTGCCGCCGCGCCAGCCCCAAATAATACACAGAGACTCTGTATTTGATACAATGCTGTTGGCCTGGTTACTTGTTTCTTATCGGCAGCTCTGCCTTAATTATTAACCCATTTCTGCTGATCTATGTATTCTCTTACTGGGGGGCCGGGGGCATACGCTTCTTCAGACTCTCCATCCTGACTCCTCCTTACTACTTCCTATTTCCTCCTTGTCTCCTAGTCCCTCCTATCTTCCTTTCCTATTGGCCAACAGTGCTTTATTATTAACCAGTATGAGAAACATATACAGAATGACATCTCCCATCAGCTGCCAAACTCCAAGTATCTGTTACTTGCAGGAATCACAATTCTGCCTGTTCTCAGGGCTTGCCATCTTCACCTTTTTTCAGTGCTGGTCATCACTTCTACAGTCTGCCAGTCCTCTTTGCTTTCTCAACGCCACTCAGGGTCCCATCTGTCATTTCTCTTCCTCTGACTTTGTGGGTTTTTGCTAGATCAAGGGATATCCTATTGTGTCTATGAAGATGTCACTTAAATTTCTAATCTTCCACTGTAGGCTACAAAAAGGAATGACGAGTGTCTAATATGATCTGTTTCAGATCTCTGGTAAATGAAATAAAATATAAAATGCAAAACAGAAAAAAGATGTGGCAATACCTATCATCTTGGGAGGGAAGCCAAAATATTTTAAGGCCACCCTGAGCTTCATGGCAAGAGCCTTCTGAAAAAACATACGTACACACAAACAAACCCCAGAAAAGTATGAGGTGAGTGCCCTCAGGAAGCCTAGGAAATTTCCAACTCAGTGTCCAAAATCATTTTCTATGTTTCTACCCTTAGAGCAGGCCGATGAGCCCAGGTCTCCTGCACGCCATACACCACACCTGATGTGAACCCATAGCCAATTCCATTATCTCACGAGGAGATCGTTTATCCCCTGCAGCAAACCAAATTTGGTCTTTGGGGAGCAATGTGGACACTGTTGAGTAAAACGAATCCTAAATTCCTGCAGTTACACCTCAGCAATAAGAAAGGTTGAAAATGAAAAGGGGTTGCACAGAAACTAGCCACACATAAAAAACAATTCCCAACAGACAAAAGTAATAGTTCCCTAACTGGAACTAGGTTTAGTTGTTTCCTGGATTACAGATGAAATGAAGCATCTAGGAGACACCAATGAATCAAAACTCACATGTACACTTATTTGCTATGCTTGGTACATGCGAGGGAATACACTTTAACAGGCTAGCCCAGGGCAGAGTACCACAGATTCTCCCGAGGGATAAAGGACCTACATTTACGCTTAAAGGAGTAAAGAAAAGGAAAGGTATTGTTGCACATCTAAATTCAGCACCTTGGACAATGCTACTCACGGAAGCTGTCAAGCAACACCATGAACACAAGACTTTTTTAAACAGAAAGCTCTGGGTAAAGGATATAGCTAAGCATGGAGAGCTGTTTCCTGACCAATGATGCAAGCCTGGAGACCTAGAGTTCCAGAATACACATAAAAATGAAAGAGAAAAGCCGGCTGGTGCCAGCACACGCCTTTAGGAGGAGGCAGGGCCCAGCAAGTTCCAGTACAGGCAGAGAAAGCCTGTCTTGAAAAACCTCAATAGACAGATGGATGGATGGAATGAAAGGAGAGAAAAACTTCACAAAGTTCTCCTCTGATTTCATTGCAGCTATCAAGTGTGCGTAGATATGTGCAAACTAAAATGATTTTTTTTAAACGTAGAAATCTTACTGATCAAAAATACAATGTATTTTATTTGATCAATAGCACGGTTTAAAAAGGCAGGCTGTGGCTAGAGAGACAGCTCAGTGGTTAAAAGCACATTTGCAGCAATCGCACAGGACCTGGGTTAGGTTCCAGGGGAGGAGATAACCTCTTTTGGTCTCCACGGGCACTGAACACATGTAGTATGCTTGCCGAATGCAGGCAAAACACCAATACACAGAAAAATAAATCTTTTTAAAAGGAATAAAGTAACAATTCCAACAGCCAGTAACTTGGCTGTAAGGAATTAAGTAATGCTAAATATAGCACATTGTTTCTCTGTAGCGTACAGAAATATGATGATAAAATCATGGGCACTGTTTTCATTCCTAACCTCAACTATTCCCTCCTGTCCATACACTTAAAAATGATATTCATGTTCCAAACTTCGGCTTTTCATATGGACTATCATGCATTTAAGCGGCTTCATCTTAGGTAGTGAAGGCTTAAATTCACACTTACCTGATTAGACTTTTCTACTGTACTACTGGGAACCTCAGTAGTGTCCTTCACAAAAACGTTGTCTATGATGTGTCTCTCAGCACACTCCTGACTGCAGACTGGGCATCGAATGACTCCAACTGGGAAAGACAAGATTGAATTTCAAGTTTAATATACCGAGACCACCACATCTCATTTAAGCTGTAACTAGACGGGATTGTTCCTAATAGTTTGTAAGTTCATATTTGCTTTCTAAATTCATAAGGAATGTATATACACACATATAAACCATATATGTGTGTGTATACACATAACATATATATATGTATACATATACATTAAATACACTAAATGTTGTATAAGCCCTTTTAACTGGTATGCCCAACGGCTTTTATTTTTACTAACCAGCAATTTCTCCATCCCTGTTTTTCAAACCTAAGTAGTTGTTCTTTGTGTATGTGAGATAAGGTCCTAATGGGTCATCCCTGTACCCAATGCCACACGTGTTTTCTATAGCACAAGGAACTCTGGATATCTCCAGACCTACAGGATCACAATTTCTGGAAGAATTACAATCGCCTCTGGTTAAAGCTTCCACAAGCCATTAAGAAACATTATTTTGTTTTCCTTGAACAGATGAGAACTGTTTCTATGGGGCGAAGTCCTCTCTCATAGAAACATATAATATATACAATGCACTGATCTAAGACAGACTTGAGGAAATGCCAACAATTTTCAGAAACTCATGGTTTGCATGTGAAATGTCCCCTGCAGTCTTAGCTGGCAGCACCATTTTTGGGTGTTTGTAATTTTAAGGATGTAAGGGCTAAAGGAAATAGGTCAATGGATACATGTCTTGAAGATCATATCTGGCCTCCAGCCCCTCTATTAAAATGTGTAAGAAATGCATAAGAACAAAAACAAAGTAATCCAAAAGCGAATTTTATCTGAGTACATTTAAGTAACAATAGTTTTGTTTTTTAATCCTGTGGGGCGGTGGTGGCACATGTCTTTAGTCCCAGTATTGGGGAGGCAGAGGCAGTTAGATAATCTGTGAGTTCGAGGCCAGCCTGGTCTACAAAGGAATTCCGAGAAGGGCTCCAAAGCTACACAGAGAAACACTGTCTTGGGGGGTGGGGGGGAATCCTACAGCTGGAGAGACGGTTCAGTACCTAAGAGTTGGTTGCTCTTCCAGAGGACATAGGTTCAATTCCCAGATCACAACCATCTGTAACTCCACTTCCAGGAGATCTAATGCCTTAGTTTGGTCTCAGTGGAGACTGTATGTTAAGTGGTGTACAAACATATGCAGACAACACATGCACGCACACACCCTAAAATAAAACTTTTAAAAAATCCATCTGAGATCTCACACATGAGACTAAGTCTCACTAGCAACTGAAGCACACACATACATACATATATCATTCAAACTGACTGTGCTCCTCCACAAAAGCAATAGCGAAGGACACATGAGCCAGTCAAAGATGGTGCCGAGATGTTTACAAAAAGAGGTGACTGGTTGCCAAGATCAAACCAAATAAGTAAGGTTACTATATAACACCTCGAGTTCACTAGGTAAAACATAGGGAGCCTAGGCACATGATAGGTTGACCTTTAAAACCACTGGCTGGCTGTTTTTCCACGCCGTGGTTCGTTGCTTTAAAAGATGGCTGCTATGGGGAACAGGTGAGTGGCACACTTAACTTTTTCTTGGACCCAACTCAGTCTTCCATGGTCAGGCTAAGACCCTACACCATAGGTTATCTAATGAAACCAGGCAGGAGGACCCAGTTTTTGAGTTGTTCATAAGGGAGTCCAAGACACTCCCCAAACAATACATGTTATTGCTGCTGCTGTGGGTTGGAAGCTTGAAGGTCAGTCCCTATTGCTGAAGACACCAAAAGCTTCAGACATAAGACCTGGAAGAATTGAGCTAGATCTGATTTGAAATCCTCCTCCCTGAGATAGCTTTTATAATACTGGCAAGGACTATGCATGCCTCCAAGGAAGAGCAGCAACCAACAGCCTTGCACAGCTGTAACAATTATGACCCATGATAACCATAACGGTCCATAGCGGCATTAATCTTGGTGTTAACCAACTGCTTCCCAATTGGACTCAAGACCTACTCAAAGGAAGGAAAATCATGCCAAGTACTAGAAAAGTAGCCATACCTAATGCTAGGTGAGACCGTGACCGTACAGGAGAACCTACCTTCATCACTTTACTGAATCAGCATAATCCCTAACTGCACTCTAAATACTTATCCAAATACCCGCAGATAAGTGCAGTTTTTGCCCCTCATCCAAGAAACTTATCTTTACAACTAATGAGAGACAGAAAACCACAACTGGTTAAAAATCAGAGAACAAGTGATCATGAGGTGCCCAGCTAAGACTCGGGACACTGTGGAAGAGGGAGCAAAGAAACTGTATGAGCTACAGACCAGGACATTTGCTGTGAGAATGTGTCTCCTAGAAATGACAAAGCAAAGCAATGTGACTGCCAGCAGAACAAGGCCTGAAGGAGAGCAGTGCAGCACCACGCTAGCATGGAAGGGGACCTCACAGGGACACAGCACACCTACAGGCAACAAAGGAAGCAAGGCAGGCTCGGGGCAAGACAAGTAGTTCCTCCCTAGGGATGGTATGGTGCTCCCAGTTGGTTATCTGATTTCTAGTGGTCTGCCGTGAAATCATACAAGTAACACTACATCAACTAGATCAAGGAAAAAGAGGCCAGGATTTCCAGAGGGAGTCTGGGGGATACATGCAATAGATTAAGGGGAAGGACAGGGAGGGATAAAATATAAAGTAAAAAATGTATTTTATAGTAACAAAATATTAGGCACTCAAGAATAAACTTCACAAGGTTATGAGAGGTTATTGCTGAGAAAATGTGACATTATAAAACAAACAAAAACTTTAAATAATGAGGAAAACATGTTCAATACAGCTAGCTATACATCAAGGTAGTTTCTGGATCTTACTAAAATTCTGTTTGGAAAACATGCCTATTAAATAATGACACTTAACTACTAAGCCTTAGGTAAATAACATGGTACTTTTTGTAAAAACACGCAAAATAAGAACTGAATGTGAACACCAGAAACACCTATGTATAACTGATTTGCACTAGAAACAAACAGGGAAACACTAACTCTCAAAATTGCTGGGACCTGTTGCAGGATATCTGATCACACTGTGAACCTGAAATTGTTATTTACTGGAAAAACCTGTTTCTAGCTGTGGTGTGGCTCAGCTCTAGCACACCTTGAATCCAAGAGCTTTCTGCTGTAATATTGTGCACAGGATTAGAGGTGGAGCAAGCCGCTTGTTGACAGGAAGTGAACATAAGAAAAAAACAGTAAGAGGGAGTCAGGAGGATGGATAAAGAGAGGCACAGGAAGTGGCAGGGAGGGATTCAGTTGGAGGATTTTGCCTGAGATGGCAGAGGATGGGGCATCCGCTGAGGAGTGACATCAGCTAGTGCTTCCCCTCTCTCTGGGATAGCAGGCCCCCCCCCCCCACTAGCTGGCTCCTGAGCCTTTATTGATAAAATTGAATGACTGAGATACAGTAAAAACAGCATTTGGTGCTCCAACCTGTGCCACGGCCACATGGACTAAGAAATCACACCAGCTGAGTACAAACTGAAGACATCAGATGTGATGAGACACCTGGGAAATGCTCACGGAGAGAATTTAGTAATATTGAAAGGAAAAATCTTTCCCACATTAAGGATGGGAAATATAACACAGGCATCAGGACTCTGTATAGTGCTACTTTAGATGGCTTGAAAACAGAAGCAGAAAATGAAAAGATAAATGACTTAAATGAAATTGCCATAATATCGATTATAATTACTATCAGTCTGGTAATTCATATTTTATCCTTAACAGCCACAGTGGTTTTTCCTGCCAAATATAAAAAAGTGGATTGATAACATACAAGCCTTAGAAACACAAATGAAAATAAGAAAAATACTCAGATATAGAAGAATTTAGAAAGAACCTACTGTGCCATTGCATGATAAAACTGACAGAGAGGCCCATGGTTGTTGGAAAATTAACCTTAGTTTATCCAGGTACTAGACAAAAAGGACCAGCAGACTATAGGCAGCCACAAGGTTATGGAGAAGTTAAAAGGAACCCTATAGAAATAGTAGACTTAAGGAAATTTAAGGCATATGTTATGTCGCATAGTATGCATTCACCCTTGGTCAAGCAGCTATTAAATTCAGGGGCAATTAAGAACAGAATTGCCCCCCCCACACTGGAATACATTTGGCAACAGTGATACTGGAAGACAGTTTTCAGTTACACTGGAGCACATGGTAGAAAGAGAAAGCTAGGGTCACAGAACAATGAAATAGTGCTAGAGGTATCAATATTTCCCAAGATCAGTTTCTAGGTGAAGGTCAGTATCTTGAGTTACAAAGAAAGTTTGAATTTGATGATCATGCCTTGGTGCTATTGCAATTTAGGAGCTTTGAATACTTGGGAAAAGGTTGTTGAAGAATCAGGAATGAGGTCTGAGTCATTTACTAAAATTATACAAGACCAAAAGAAGCTTTCCCGATCTTTTTTATTTATTTATTTTTTCTTTCAAAAATTGACCTCAGCTGTAAATACAATAGTATCAGATTCAAAAGTCAGATAAATATTAATCAAATTTTTGGCTTTTGAAAATGCTATTTAGAATGCAAAAGGGTGATCAGGCCTTTAAAGGCAAGATCACCATCCATAGAAGAATGGATCAGAAATATAATTGATATTGGACCCCATACCTCTCTAATGGTGATAGTTGGAAATGAGCACTGCTTTCAGTTTTGTTGATTTTTCAAAGGTACCAACAGCCCTACATTTATCATGATTAGTTGACAACCTGTTTGGGTGAAATACTGGCCTTGGACATCAGAGAAATTACAGGTAGCAGCTAAAGTCTCAACATACTGAAGAGTCCACCAGTCTTTGTAATTCTCCTATTTGTCATTAAAAAGAAATCTGGAAAATGGAGAATATTAACAGATTTAAGAGCCATAAATAAGGTGATTCAGCCAATGTCTTCTTTACAACCTAGAATTCCCTACCCTTTTTTATTACTTAAAGGATGGTCTATTAGGTAGATTGATTTAA